GAAGTCACGCCTCACAGTTAGTACATAAAGTGGATTATCTATTCATCGTATTCAGGCACTATGGCTATTTTGATGACAGCGCAACACAAACGACGTTATTACAGAAACTTATTGTAGTGAAGAAGGACACAGGTGAGGACAACCGAATTGTATTTAGCACAAAATTACAGAGTTACTTGGTAAAATAGAAAAACCATATAGTAAATCGTTAATTTGCAAAATATCATTCCATAATATCATACCGGACTGTTGCCGTTGCAAATATCAATCCATTGTCTCACATTTCATTGTTCATGCGGTTTCTTACAAATTCCATTGTGTTCTCACTCTTGCTTTTTTGATCTTCCCCCATCTTCTGCTGCCAGACATTACGTTCTTTAACTCGCGTTATATACTGCTTATATCAATATAAGTAGCACGCACCCAAATATTAGCTGGAGTAGGTAGGAGAAACAGAGTGCGACGACCACCGCATGGGCCAGTCCATGGCGTGCAGTTGCTTAGTGCGCATTTGTCGTTTTTTATCTTGACGACGATCAGTGAGCCGCCTGATACTCAGTAACCCGACCGTCGAATGATTTGGCTAGGGCCGGGTATCATTTCACTGGCCCCACACATTCACTGTAAAGTTAAATATTTGATGTTGTGTATAAAACTATCATAATAATACGATCCAATTTCACGCTGCATGCTCCGAATTCGATTTCCTGATCGTGTCTTGTCTAAGTTCTAGGCTTACTGGGATTATCGCTATTTCGTTTCATTATTTCAAATTCACATTTGCACCGTATGTTCCAGTTTCCGAGCGAAATACGTCGTGTTGTGGTGCTGAGAGGTGAATTGGACTAGACAGTTCACTGTATATCTAGTGCCCTCAGTAAACATTCAGATAGAAGACGTAGGGTTAAGGAACACATACATGCAAAAAACAGTAAAATTATCAATATTTAATATCGCTGTTTTCAATCGGCCAGATGTTTTCGATCCTTCTGTAACATCAACATCAAATAAACTCGTTATCGATTGACCTACATGGGGTAAATGAAGAATAACTGACTTCTAGGAGATCCTCTAGAGATAAAGACTGAAGAAAGCACGTTTCTTATGTCATCCACCGTCCAAATGGCAGTAAGCAATCCTGTTTCTAGTAGGAATAACAACAACTTTACCACCCAAGTCATTGGTCATCATCCCACATCCCAAAGTGTGTAAAGAGACTGTGGCCGCTACTATAATGAAGGCTGATATATGGGTACAGATCAAGAATAGGAAACGACCTACTGTTGTTAAAGAAAGAGCGAAGATCGAAGGTAGATCATAGTGACAGCTGTCTCTCATACAGTTAAAGAGAGTAAAATCATAGAACTCAGACCTCGTTTTGAGCTCGATATTATGATGGTGAAAGAGCTTATAAACCAGCTAATGCTTCAGGTTATGTCTGGAGTCACCTTGCTATAAGTTTATAGACTAGGCAGCCATATAAACTTGAAATAGCATCAAAGCAGTCTGTTAAAAGTAGTATTTAAATCTCTTAATGAAAGAGTCCTAATACCGTAGAATGGACACAAACCAAAGGGGTCCGGAGTTTTTGTCCGTAAAGACTTGCCGCTCCCGGAACGTATGGAAAGACGGGAAGCTGAAAAAACTGAAATTAATGTTAGATGCTGGCCAGAAAGACCTTAAGAATAACAAATTGTTGGTTGGTGAGACTTCGACGGAGAATGGTGCCGAATCTACCCCGCATGCTTTAGGAATCTGTTTAAACGATCTTTTGATCTGTTACGCCAATTCCTGGAGCTTGCCCAACAGGCGATCAGAGGTAGGTGTACAGATATAATCGCTGACACAGAAACTTGTCTGATGCAGTCTGTATATAGTAGGCAGATTGATTTTGTAGGTTTTACATTGGTAAGAGCTGAGAGAATTCAGGAGCGTAAACGAGTAGCTTTATTCCTTAGAAAAATCATCCTCTTCGCCAATGTCGATAGACTGGAAAATCTGAGGACTGAGTCGCATGAAAAGTCTTTCGAAAAGAAACTATTCAGTGCGATTATCACTTGTTCTCTAGTGCATCATATGAAAGAAGCGAGTAGATACTACCCGAACTCTGGATCATTATTAGATAACATGTTGATTCACTATGAGGATGGCGTCACAAAACTTCATTATATGTCACCCTGTGTAAGAGTGATCATGCGGTTTTTGTCTTTGATTTCCATGTAGTTGTCAATAACGAAAATGTGTCAGCCCAAGCCAGACCAAACGTCTGGAAAGCAAATGCACAGAGAATTGTATACTCAGCATCTTCAGTAGGTTTGACATTAGAATCAGAATCTTCTATTGGGACGGCTTATGAGGAATCAAGAGACTTGTACATAAAAGTTACTGCAACAAATATTACTAGGACTGAGCTAAGGAGTCCGAGAAACTCTATTAACTTGCCTTGTCTTTCTAAACAAATAATTTACGAGGACACTTCAAAAAGTTCACAAACCCTGAACAAGTTGCTTGTCCGCTGACTATCAACGTTACCATCATCCCGTCAACGAATGGAATTCATTACCTCAGAACGTGGTTAGGGCTCCATCCGTTGACTCTTTCAAAAGAAAGTTGAATCAATTGAGAGATCATCAGTTCCAGGCCTAATACAGGCCACCCAACCGCTTGTTTTTTCCAAAATGAAACTGGAGCCGAGTATAAGAGACAAATATATTGTTGACATAAACACAAGTCCATTGTAAACATATAATTAATATAATTATAAATAACCGAGCAAGTCACAAGGCTGTAATCTAGTTTCCGAGTTGGCCTATATTAATCTTCACTTACTTTCGCCAGCCATTCAATAACCATTATGAATCTTCCACGATGATATATGATTAATTTCAAAGGTGGTTTGTGTTAATGATTATGTGTTATCACATTGCCGCCACAAACGTTAGTCGTGAACAGTTGAGAGTTCAAAGGAAAAGAATCTAACACTCCAGATTGATCAGTTTTATTCCCGTCATTTAGTTCATAACTCAGTAAGTGGTTTAAGTCAAACGTGCAACTTTCCGCCAAGCTATAAGTGATAAAAGTTTGGCCGCAGTCAAACGTAAGCCATTGCGAGTTAATCAATAACCCATTGTTAGTGTAGCACTTAGTGCCGTATCACGGCTACACGAGTTACTCTGGATTTTGAACGGGGCACCTAGTCTATTCTTTTTTGTCGTCGTCCACATATTTCATCTTGAAGATACCGCAGGTATTTGGGGTTTGACAACGCTTTAACCAGTAACACCTAATATGAATCGTACCCACTAATTAAAATCAAAAGAGAGAAGCAAGGAGGTTCGAAGATATATTTGATAGGCTATCAATATATCGACAATCTTCTGATCTAATCTGGCCAGCGATTGCAGCAGATGTTGAGTACGGCGTCCCCACTTCTGATCTGATGCGGATGCATGACCGAGCGCCTTCAGCTGGGTGAGTCCATTAAAACTAATATGGTCAGCATCCAATGTCGAAGGCTTTTGGAGCTATTTATTTTGGGAATTTATTTACCGCTACGATCTTATCAGTTATCTATTTGTCACATCGATTGTTTTTGTATGAGCGTAGGTGTGAGTGCCTGTTTATGGATCACTCTCTACTTCGCATTCTGTAGCTTCTATCTGTGTTCGACTATAGATAATGAGTCACACTCTGTTAAATTGAGCTGGGACATTTGCTATCTCCGATTCACTTCAGTTCTCATATTGTCTGTTTGCGTTAATGGATGTATGAAACGAATGTATCCGAAATTCATTTTTGTATCGGGCTTGTTTTATTTCGGTTTTTACTAACAAGTCTTAAGGCAGTGGAAATGTAGTAGGTTAATTGATTTACATGTTCCGTTATTATCACTCGATGGCTATAAAGTCAGACAGGGGACCTGTGTTAGAATAAAAACTTTGGCTATTTGCTCCCTAAATTTATAATGATATTATGCTTCAGATTTTCCTCTGTTGAATGGTGACATGTCTGTGTCTAAAAATAGAATGAACACTCTTCACGTTTGTTCTATATGTTTTGTGATAAGGATTACAATCAAACTCTTAAAATCTTCCACTGGTTTTAATGCTTGATGAGGGTTTAGCATTCTGTTGGTTTAAGAAAATGTGGTAGGTACCTTGACCTTACAATGCTTTTCAGCGTCATATGCAAATGGTTTCTCATAAGCTGTTCATACTCATAGATTGATGATTTAAAAGCTTGTGATGGAATTGAAGGCAATGATCAAAGATTTCTTATTTCGGCAACTAAGTATGCGGTTAGAAATTTTGATAGATGTTGAGGAAACTGAAGAGAGGATTTCATCAGTCAAAGTACAGATAGCTATCGATTTAGGCGAACCATATGATCTTTATCAAATGAACTGCTGTATATACATTTGATCCTGTATTATTTAATAGTCAACTTTTTGATCAAGTTGGGAAATGAAAACTGTAGATCACCAATTTAGGTGATCTGTATCGAATTATTAGTGGTCTACTCGAGTTGGACGGGAATGACGTGACCAATCAGCTAGTGTTGAAGTCATGTCTCACGGTTAATACCTAGTGTGAAGTGCCCTTTTATCATGTCCAGGTGTTATGACCACTTTGAAAGCCGTACAACACAAACAACGTCATTACAGAAATATATTGGCATGCGTAGATACAATAAACAATGTGACATCTGCTACACGTAACAGTCCGTGACATGCAACTGCTCAGTACTCTTTGATTGTTTCGGACCTTGACCAGGACGGGTAAAATTTTCAATATTCAGCGACCCAACTACCGGACCAATGAGTAGACCGATGATTAATAACTAATTTCAATAGACTTTAAACATCATAATAATACAAAGAAATCACCCACATGTTTTGTCAATACCCACCTAAAAAACTGTTAAAAAATGCCTTCTGGTTTACGATTGTTTATGAATCTTCATTTCTAGTGATATCATTGCAATAACATTTATGTGTTTTTGTGCATCATTTTAAGAGTAGATGTTGGTCCATAGCTTGTCGCAATCTAAGGCGGATTGTTTGTGTGGACATTCGCGAATGACGTGAATTATGTGGAGGTTTGAGCTTTATGCTAAACTTTTTCAACTGAAAGTAACTATATTTTGGATTCTTCAGTATTTACTCACTTAGTTAAGCAATTATGATAAGCATCCATGGGAACACGGAGTTGAGCAACGGATCTTGCAGGTAATTTCCTATTTCGACATTATTACATTTCTGACTACATCAATGTATAGTTGCTATCACCTAATAGTTCACGTTGGACAAAATGTGTTTATCCTCAGTTTGCCTTTTGGTTCACTGAAAACAATCTGTTCTTACAAGATCTGAGCACATGTATTCGTCCTGTCATATGACGACATCTGTTATTATTTCTCTGGGACAAAAGGTACAGGAAACGTCTTCCGGCGGCAGTTTCTGAAAGTCGAAAAACCTGGTTGTCACGTTCTTTTTGTTTGCCCTTGAGTTTCGAGACAGCTAATTATGGCCTTTGAGTTGATCTAATATAATTGGTCAAGATTCATTTCTTAGTATCTTGTACGTAATTAGATCTACTATTAGTCATAAAATACGGCTAAGTGCTGAGTGCGCAATGTTTTATTACTTATCTGATACTTAGAAATAGGGAGGTATATGTTTGTGAGTTAGGGTCCTGAGCTGAAACAGAGGAAGTCAACTGATGACGCTGATTGTAGTACTTCAAGATCTTTTCGTTCCTAATTATACCTCTTAAATCATTATTAGACATTACTAGGTTCAGACCAAAAACTTTTATACGTTCTGATAGCCAGTTATTGTTACTGGCCCTCAAACTTACAGTATGGCTCATATCCAAGTATCTGGTGCATGAGTTAATTAATTTAATTTTGTTAGCATCCCCTCACCATTCCAATGTGGGATTTAGTAACTTGGACCAACACACATACCTGTCGTGTTTATGTTGTTATGACCAACTATCTGATTAGCGTATATTTGAAAAATAATGAGAAGCTTTATTCGGTCAATTATATTTTTACGATTTGATAACCGTCCTAAAATTAAGTAAACAGCGTCAACTCTATACGAATAAAGTAATTATAATAGGACGTAATTGTCCAATTTTAGACAACGAAATAAATTCATTGTTTCGTCGAAGAAATTACTGCAGTTCGGTGAAAAAACTTTCTGACGATTTTATTTGCTAGATTGCTACAATTGTATAGTATATGTATGTAGTGGGATGAAAGTATTACATCATTGAAGATATGGTTTAATGTTTTGTCAGGTTTCGAAAAAGCTGCATGATAAATCAAAGTGAAAATAATTTACAGATGGAAAATGATTGTCAACTTGAAGATCAAAAAATGTAGGTATACGGTAGTTTGGTGTAGTAAATTATATGGACGTATGATTTATAGGAACGAAGTCACGTAACGTTCTAACTGCTAATGAGAAATGTCAAGTTGAAAATATGTTATATAAGACATAATTATTTATTTACTAAGTATAAAAAACAGAATAATTACGAAATTGTAGTACTAGCTGATTGGTAATTTTGAAAAAGTGATGGAGTTAAAAAAAAGGACTATTGAACATGCGATATAGGGAGAGAGTTACGACATGTTTCTCTCGTACACAGAGACTAGCTTGGAATCTGAGTTGTTAAGGCCTCTTCAGCACATAGGTTTCTAATCTGTATTTCTTATGACTCACATTTATGTTCGTTATTTCGCTAATTTATATTTTACCAAGTATATTCGATCGTTAACTCATTCTATTACCATTAGTACTGTTACTGTCTCTATTATTCTGGGATTCGTCTTGAAAATTTCATCTTGCTTCGCCTTTAGGGTATGGAAACGTGAGCTGGTGTGCAAATGTAGCAGGCTCAACGTTGCGTTTTAGGTATTGACTGCGGGTGAATGTGAAGTATTCTGGTGGAGCAACGTGGCTAATTTATTTTTTATTTTTATTTCAACACATAAATATTGGTACAAGAGGGCACCAAATATATATGCGCCACACCATATTTGTGTGTGTGTGGGCTGTGATACTGCCCGGGTGCCCAGACCGAAACAGGTGGTTTTCTTAGGGGACCACACCCCAAGCCTTTGACCTAAAGGTCTGGCCCACAAGGCAGTGGAGCATCGTGAGGAGATGCATTCCCATGGTAACCGGTGACCAACGATTGGTTCATACGCCATTTATTCCCGCAGGATACTGGAGCCCATGTGCACCATTGGTTTGGGATCCGGTTAAAGCGCCGGGCATTCGCTTTTCGTCCTCCCGGTCACGAGAAGGCAGTGAGTAGGACTTCCCTGCCAGAGGCTGTATACGCGTGACCGTGTGAGAGCATTTTGAGAGGGAGAGAGGGCCCACCCCACTCTAGGCCATACCAGGGCATTTGGGGGCTACGTGGCTAATGGTTGTGAAATTAAACTATTTACCAACTTAATCGGTGCTCCTGGTAACTAAACGGGGTAATGCTCAGAGATAGGTTCCAAGAGAGCTAGTCTTGTGCGCCCGATATAACCTGGTCCATAAGATGTTGATTTATAAATATACAAATCTGTGGCCCAAAGTGGAAGCTTGTAATTCACACATTCACTAGTCAATGCGCGACTGTAGAAGAGAATGCAATGCTCATTAGAATAAAATATTTTTCCTCAGAGATCTCGAAAGTCAGTCTTTCAGGATCTCTGCCTCTGTATCTCCTTCAAATTGGATGTCTATGGAAAAAATCTATAACTCTAGATAGTTTTTCACGCTACTGTATCATCCTACTATTTCTGTTAACCAGTATATGTGGGTGGCGATTGTTGATGGGTATCTGTCGTACTTGATCTAGTTCAATGTCAGTTTTATCATCAGTTTAAATTCTTTTGGCTCTAGCTAATAGAAAGTGAATTAAGTTTATCTTCTGTTTCAAGGAGCCCAATATTGGAATTTGTGTACTCGTCGTTCTAAGTTGGCTTTCTGTATATTGATCTTCAAAGCAACCCATCCGACCCTCGATTTAGTAAAATATCTTAGAAATGAAACCCCTGAGTCTGACTCTGGTTTTACTGTAAACGTGAATATTGGTGACAACTATTCAACTTTCAAAGGATGTCTTTGGGTTCGTTATTTTCGTTTCGGATTGTGAAAAAAACCATTGAAATTTCTTTTGTATGAATAAAAACTGTCGTTCATGGTTTTAATTACAATGTTGTATAAATTAGCAGTAAAAAAACCAGCTTTAAGTGGGTCGAGTGGTGAACAGATTTCTATTTTAATGGTTTGTCTATAAAACGCATAACTCATTTTAAACTGAGCATTAAAAGTAAATTGCAGAATTAATTTCTTTAGATATTATTTCGGAACACTGATATCGAGGTTTTTGTTTTCATCATAGTCTCATGACAGACAGCTTGTATCTGAATGAGGTGCATTTGTTAAGTGAGAAGTAACGTTCAATGAGTAAATTTTCTGCCCGGTTACACTGACGTCAGATATTGAATCGATGAAACCAAATGAATCAACAGTAGTGTGTCTGTTAAGTTAATTTCTGACTGTCAGATTTCAGTTAACCGTTTTGTGATATAGTCTAGGAGATCCAGTGGAATAATACCAACACACTTCTATGTTTAATTCAACGCTAAATCTTTATTCCTCGGAAGATCAAATAATTGGGATTCACTTTCTCTCGAAACTAGATGTTTAGTTTTCGGATTTGTAATATTGAACACAGCGGCTTGCAAGGTTAGGGAGTTATTTGTAGTCATTGTTAGAGTCTGGGATAAATTCGCTTGTCTAATGAGTTAGATTTCCAAATCGGGTTTTCATGTTGAGTCCTTCGATTGCTGTGGAGGTATCACAGTTTTTTGGACCTAATACTTGTAACTGTAAGTTCATCATTCTACATAGTATATATGACGTAGGAATGTAAGTGATATCTGTCTTGGAGATAGATGAAACATGTCCTTTTGACTGTTGAGTGTTGTTACTAATGTTCTGTTCATGACGTAAAATACTTTTATGTAAGGAATATTGGCGGTATCCAAATCCATAGATCAGGGTAGATGAAAGAGGTTTGATCCACTATTCGTCGAATCCTTAAAAGAGTGAATATCCTTACTCTTACCACTGGAGTGATGATACAAATATATTTTACACACATTGATATTTAGTACTATTGGTTTTGCTACATTAGGTTCCCTTCATTTCAGTCCGTCAGGGCGTGCATGACTTATTAGTTTTCTTGATCAAAATATTGTTGAAAAATAACATTTTTCCGTATTCGCTCTAGGGGATTGATCGCCATTCGACTCGTGATGGGAAAACACGTTCAGGTCTTATTGATGTGGACGTAATACGAGGTAAGTAGGTGAATAATTGCATACTTGTGTCTTTTACTGTTTACTATATTGTTCCATTGAATATCAAGTATTAATGTTTCAATATTGAAGTCGGTGATATACAGGCTTGAAGTTCCTGGCCTCTTCTTGTACTTGCATAAATGTCTTTTGCTTCCAAAATTATCAACGTCTGGTATTGTTTAAGGATTAAACCTGAGATTCTTGTTATGTCTGATTAAGGTTTTACAGCTAGATGTATCGAAATATCGGTTGGTGTTTTGTTATAACTTTGATTTGACCGTGATAACCCTTTTTGAAAGCACTAGGACACCGTAAAACTAGTTAACGTCTGAGTTTCTGTAGAAAAGGTTATATTCACCAAAGTTCACACGCCTGCAACAAGTATCAAAGCAAATGATTTACTCAGAATTTCGTTGTTATTAGCAATCATACTATTAATATAACATACGAATATTCATCAATATTTAAATGAATAGTTTGACAGTGATCGGGCATCAAGTATATAGAAGACATTATTTGTAAAAATTATATATCACTGAAACCATGATTCGATCAGTATTAAACCACCATTGAGAATCTGGAAGGACTGGACGGCCGTTTCGTTCTATAGTAGTACTTCTCATCGGTGCGCAACCACGACCCTCCTACGCGGGATCCGAACCCAGGACCTTCGGTATCGCCCACGAAGGCTTAACTTCTGGACCACTAAGCCGGCATCTAATGGCGTTAATGTTGACCTTCAGTCAATCTACGATATTGCGCTACCATTTTATTTAAAAAATCTCAGCGATTGAAATTTAAATAATCCCAACATTTCGTCCAGCAATATTATCTATACTTTTTCAGGGTGATAATCAAAATCAAACTATCAAAGAATATATAACCCTGTTTATACCATATTTGCCTTTATTCCTACTTCGAATATCTTGGTATCATAATTACATGTGTGGTGATTCTCATTTTGCACACACATCGATATTTTAAAAACGTTTCAGTTGCCATCATTGTTCTTATTTTGCTACACAAAATGACTAGCGTATCTTTGGTAGTAGGTAGAGAGTGCATTTATTCATCAAATATTAACTATTCATAACATAAAGGCACACATACACACATTCATTTTTCACATTATTCACATATTACTAACACATATTTCCCTACTTACTGAAATCAACATCTTATTATGACTAGATAAGCTTTTACTGTAGATTTAATTGTCAAACGTTATATATTCTTTGACAAGACTGCTGAATGAAATGTTGGAATTATTTGAATTTCAACCTGCGAGACTTCTCCAAATATTAATATAACTTGTTTATCCCTGCTTAAAACGAAAATAATCCGGACTACAAACCATTATGTAAATATCATTTAGTCACATTAGAACTTGATATAAGTCTTAAATAGTATAATAAAACGGATAGCAAAAGGGAGAAGAAAAAAATCAATAGATACAGACATGTTGAGTAGGTTCTCGAATAGTGGATGTATCCAAGCCTTTAATAATGGTATTGAAATGTTGGACAATTTTTAGTGTCTCATAATAATCCACAGATTTCGGATAGATAGATTTAACGAAATGATAAGATATTGAGTAACCGTTTCTGTCAAGACTGAGTTACTTATTTAAATCATCTAAAGAACTAATATCAAAATACAAGATCACTAGCCAGAAAAATGATTTCTTTTTGTAACAATATGACATACTTATAAACAGAAATAAACTTGAATAAGTATCATTTAATAATGAAGCGATATGAAGATATGCTTTTTTGTGAGCTCCTCAATTTCTAATGAGTTGAAGACCTGACTATCAGTTTAAATTCTTCCTTTTCATGTCGAGTACAATCGCTGACATCCGGACCTTTTCAACCGCTGTGTTCCAGTTCATTGTTTTTTGTTTACAGCTACTTTTTTAAACCCATATGGTTTATCTGATAATTTCTATCTTAGCTTTTCTCCAACCGTTTTTCAAACCAATAGCTATTTTTTATATGCTGATTATTACTTCAGTATCTCAAATGATAGGATCTATGACTACTCATTTTAATGAACTGAGGATTTAGGGTCGGTCTGATATACGATCTGAGCGTCATTCAATCGGTAGTTTATCAATGTTTTTAGGATTTTAGAGGTAGAACAACGACATTTCTAAGTATTTGATTCTCTAGTCATTTACTACAGTCATATAGATTCAAATAATTTCTATGAATCTTTCAATCATCGAACTGATGTGCGAGAGACCATTGTAGCTTAGAGGTTTTGTGTTTAAGTCGGTAGTCTCAATGATCAAGGGGAGTGGGTGTGCTGGAGTGATTGGATTGATCCTAATATATATGTGGTTTCATTTGGTCGGTTGTGAGCTTATGTATAATACATGCACAGTATCGTTTTACGTAAGTAAGAAGTGGATTTTTCAATTGTTGTCTAAAGTGTAGGCTGTTCCCTTTTTTATATTTTAATTTTGTACATGGATATCGATTTCTTATCATGATTTTGAAAACTTTTACCAGACCAACTATTGTCTCCACTAAGTATTGTGTAATATCGCATAATTCAAGCGTCTTTTGGGGAGGATTTCCTTTGAACTGTCTTTTGGTGACTAAGATGTTTCTAACTTATAACTCATAGGAACAGGGCCATTTAATTTGCCAGGATTGGAAATCCGTTTCGCAAGGCGAATTATGCCCTTATTAGGCCCGACTTTTGGTAACCTATCTCTCGATTATGAGGAAGCAACATCTATGGTGGTGCCGTTTATCTACATAGTGCACTTTACTGGGATCATATTATAACATTCGACATTCTTGCTGGTTGGTATTTACATCTCTTATACAACCGCGGCTACTAGAATATTGGTTCAACCGATAAATGTAAACGTATTTTGTACAGGTTTACATCTCTTATACAACCGCGGCTACTAGAATATTGGTTGAATCGATAAATGTAAACGTATTTTGTACAGGTTGAGTTGTTATCAAACATGGGCCAGTTAAATCAAATAACTGTCTTGCCGTAGTTTTCTGTAATATTCCTCATGAGCATTACGATTTACTCTTTAGCTAAATGTAATCGGTTTTAGTTGTGTTCTTGCTTGCACTATATTATTTTCTTAGTGTTTTACTGTACTAAGAGTTGTATCATAAATTAATAAAAATAATTAGACGATGGGGGCGCATATAACTCAGTCTTGTTAATTGAAACTGTTGATAAAAGACAGTCTTCCAAATATTTTCTGTCAAAATGAGAAACAAAGGGGCTTCCAAATTCTTTCAGTCACCAATATGTAACTCAATGACAGAGATTAAAGTGATCGAAATCGTTAAACAATTCACCTATTTGAGAATTCACACTAGATTAGTAAACCAGTCTGTGACTAGTGAAGTCCTGGAGTGGATATAAAAGGGTCATTTTGCTTTTACAAATCTACACTAATTGACTTACAGAGGATTTGTTCTAATACAAGTTCAAGAAGGAGTATAGGATGTATCATCTTGCTTTACAACATGGATAAGGAATATGATTTTTCAAGGTAAAAGAAGTCAGTGTTTTAATATCTTATCTATCGTTATCTTTGAAACAATCGTTTGAATGTGATGAGCTCTATGAATGGTCATTGTTGTTGATGTTATAGTAAAAAGTTGATTGTGTTGTAGTTTTTTTTTTAACTACATTCGTTAGAATTACTGTCAAATTCATTTATTATACTAGGTAGGTTGGTATTTGTTTAATACAAGCCTCAGAATAATCAGACCTTGAAATTTCTCTAGGTGATACAATCTTTGGCTGTTTAGAAAGCCGTACGTTGTTTTAGCTGAAGTTTACGAGACGATTGAAGATCGGATTTAATTCAATGGATCTGATCCATCCATTCTTTTCATCGTTAATAGGGATGTTTGGTGTCTCGCATTCCATTTTGTCGTCCTTTCCTATTTTTTTCTGTTTTACTCTCACTATCTGTACGTTTTCCCGACCGACGTTTACGTCTCAATTATTAATAATGGATTAAAGTAGTTTGGTATTTGAAATTTCATATCGTTTTTATTTTCTCTAAGTATTTGGCTGACACATATAGTGTCTAAGGTCAATTAATGAAAAAAATGTCAATATATCTTTTGCCATAGATTATTCCACGCAATAATACCTATGGCTTTTCTGATTATCAAGTTTCTAAATAAATTATTGATCCGTGCTAACCATACATTGAGGTCACTTGCAAGTTTTATAGTCTGTACAAACAGTAACTTGTTAATACGTCACATTAATTTGCAAATTATTACTGTAGTTACACTGTTTAATCTCTTAACAAACTTCATTCATATACATCACCAATTGCAGGGTTGTAAGCTGTTGGGAACTTGTGGTTTAGAATTGAATGTATGCAGTTAAGCAGTAAAGTCTAGGTGATAGGTTATGCTGTAAAATATGCGCTACATGCACTGTATAAGAACTAACGGCTATTCGACTAAGCGGGTTTGAATTTGTGGTCTAACGTTTAGGTGAGTGTGTAAATGATTTAGCTCCATTTCTCCGTGAGTGATAAAGGTTATTTGCAAGCGTTTTTAGTTTTGAGAATCTGATAAATTAGCAGCCTTGATCACCATTATATGGTATCAGGTATCGTGATAACCATGTTACCTAAATTTTGGTCCTACTAAATAAACGCTTGTATTAGTTTTTATCGATATTTAAATATCTTTTATAAAGGTTCTGTTTTCGCCAAGGCTAAAACCGGGCATGGTTGGATGGCAGCTGTGCGTTGGGGCTTATTGCGCGTAGCATTCGCTCCTTTTTACTGGAACTACTGGCGCAGTCATACATCCTTTCGTGTTGCTGTTTATATCATGGTTCACTTTTTTCTACAGTTTTTACAAGTAGTATTTTTCCTTCTGACAGACCCGCGGACTAGTAACGTAAGTCTCTTTTTTAATAATATTTTGTAACCTTTACTATTTGGACTAAGAAAATGAAGCTTATCAACATTTGGGGTTTCATATGGTTTAGCTTTTAAATGCAAAATTTCTATTGGTATGAGCGTTTTTAAACCATTTAAACGATTTTAGTTTTGTAATCACTCAGTTTAAATATAGGTATCAATCTAGTAGATAGACTCATTATTTTCTTTCAACTTTGGATATATTATAGTTCATTTATTCCCCGTCGATCAATTTCTTTATATTGATTCATCATAGCATCTTATTTCTGTGTTGAACTTTTCATTCTAAACGTTAAGAAATTGTATCGTTTCAAAACATTTCATTATTGTATGAAGTACTTCATCTCTTTATCTTTTATGTTTATCACCTGTGGAATAGACTGTTTTACAGTGCTAATTCATGTGGGATTTTCGTGGTTTATTAAACGCTCGCTTATTATCTTTTTTTTCATAAGACTTTATTGTAATAATATCAACTTTTGTGTTTTACGACTTCTGTGATGCTTTTAATGCTTCAGTTTTGTTTGTTTATCATCAAGTGGTATTTTTAATTTACATAAAACCTTTATCATTTGACATTACACATTGTAAACAGCTGGGAAATCTGAGCGTTAGTTTTAGTTTTATCGCCACACTAAGTTCCGGATTATTTATATGCAAACGTTCTACTGAAGTTTTATAAGTATAACTGGTACCTACACATATAAACATACCAGTGTACGTTATCCTTAAGTATTGTTTCTTTGTTAATTATTTTGTTATCTGCAGATTAACGAATGCTTCAATACCATATTTTCATAAATCAACAGGTATAATGAGGAAATAACATAGACTAATTAGTAATTGAAGTCATAATATCACATGGTTTTGATAAATTTTATGTTCTCATTACACAATTTGAAGTTGTATTGATTTTCCGAATTTCGGGTCACTTGGTTGTATAACTTCCATAATACGCATGTCTGTGAATAAAAAACGGCTTCAACTATAAATTCAAGTTACTCGAAGATTGAAGCAAACATCTTTTAGTGGATCCAGTAATTTCTTTTAAAAATTGCCTTTTGTAATATTAGTACATTTAAAAGCTTTATTTAGGAGATATTCCGTTTGGTTTCGTGAATTGTCACATTTAAAATACTGCTCATTAATCCATCACTCATAGATTGATAGTTTTTAAGTTAATTCTAAAGTTATGTACTAGCGAAAACTTATGATAAAAAGCGGGTTAAAAATTGATCTTTTCATTCACTCTATGCCTTTTTTAATTCAGAAAATAGATTGCTTCTATCTCTATTCCCAGCCTAGGTACAACCTATGGTATGTGTTTGAGTTCCCAGACCTCATCCGTATCTGTCTAGATTAATATTTGGATTTGAATACATGAAGTAAATATCGGTTACCTTTAGATAGCTTATGATTGCCCACCAAAAATATCAATAGCTTGTTGTTTACTACGAATAGAAATCATTCTAGCATTATGTTCCCCGGTCTTTAATCCTAACTATAAATTTCAAATCTATTGTCATTATTTATGATTAATAAATAACTTTTTTAATGAGTTAGTAAAGCTTAAACTGTGTTTTCCGAATTTTTTTGGTGTTCAGTGATCATAATTCTGAATTTTTGTTTCAGAGCTCTCAGGATGATTTACTTCTTCCTTGCTTATTGGCTATTTGTCTGGGTATTCTTCATGCACATATTACTGCTCCACATGGGAAAACTGGTTTATATTCGTCTTTTATGGATAACCCAATGACCAATCAATCTTTCAAAGATATTGGTGACCATGGCTTGAATTCAAATTGTTGTCAATACAATCCGGACAATTTAGTAAATAATAAATTTAGTAGTGTACAGACTGTTATAAATAGACATAGTGAGTATGACCATTCATCTTGGTTTCCTGTACAGTCAATTATTTCAGAGCATCACAAATTTCCAGCCAATATGTGAGTTCTATAGTAATGTGTATTGATTATTAATGCATTGATCTATATCAACTAACATTCAATTTCGAACACCTATTGCTTCCCAATTAAGATATTCTAGCCAAGTAGGGTTCTTTTTTTGGTATTCATATTATCTCTTTTATAAGGGTGAAGATTAGATGTTAATTTATAATTTAATTATTTCGAATTACTACCTCTTTTGCACTATGTTCAGACATTTTGAAATGTGTAATCATAACCTATTTCGGTAAGAAACGCCACGCTTTCATAAGTTGAAAATTCAGTACATTCTTCTTCAAAGTATCGTTCTAAAGGATATCCCAGTTACATGCTTAAGTTTTCATACAACTTTATATTTAAGTCACTGTTTATTGTCAAAGTGCGTGCTTGGAATTTTCTTCCTAGCATTTTTGTATAAGTTTTATGTAGTTTTTGATGTCGACATTCGTTAAATTTTTGTACAAAAATTTTATATTTTTTTGAAAAAGATACTTTCAAGAAGATTGAGTAGATTCTGTAGAAGAAAACTAACATTAGCTATTGTACTAATTGACAATAAATGAAAGTTCAGCGATTGGTCTTATACAGAGAATAGGAACAATCTTAAGTTTCATTACCAATCACTGAGTATTATCACGGTTTGACTTGACAGTTTCAGACAGAATAAGCATCGGGCAGATCGTTAACAATAAAATAATCATACACTTATGATATCCCAATGAGTAGAAATTGAAATTCCTGACATTTCGTGATCTAGTTTCAGTCAGCTTCTCCAGACAGTAAATTAGTAGCCTAATTAAACTAACACAAATTGAGATAGTAGAGAAGAACAACGAAGAATATTTAATTCAATCGAAATCAAGACAGATCTGATTATGTTAATGTTATGTCATTTATGCTCAAGGTAATTCTATAAGAGATTACCATGTGCATTTGCGTGTATACTAGTGGATTTACAAAATGTGAAGAAAGAAAGGACGGACAATTCATCCAACTTGGACTGTTTATCCAAACAACCATATTCCACTCAACCCATACATTATTAGTGCATACACACTTAAACTTTAGTTCTATTTCCTCACATTTTGTAAATCCACTAGCATACACGCAAATGCACATGGTAATCTCTTATAGAATTACCTTGAGCATAAATGACATAACATTAACATAATCAGATCTGTCTTGATTTCGATTGAATTAAATATTCTTCGTTGTTCTTCTCTACTATCTCAATTTGTGTTAGTTTAATTAGGCTACTAATTTACTGTCTGGAGAAGCTGACTGAAACTAGATCACGAAATGTCAGGAATTTCAATTTCTACTCATTGGGATATCATAAGTGTATGATTATTTTATTGTTAACGATCTGCCCGATGCTTATTCTGTCTGAAACTGTCAAGTCAAACCGTGATAATACTCAGTGATTGGTAATGAAACTTAAGATTGTTCCTATTCTCTGTATAAGACCAATCGCTGAACTTTCATTTATTGTCAATTAGTACAATAGCTAATGTTAGTTTTCTTCTACAGAATCTACTCAACCTTCTTGATAGTTTATAATCATTAAGATGCTAAATGTGACCAAACATAAGAATTTAACATTTATTTATGTGTATAAACTGGCTTTAGTTACTCAGCGAATCATCAGTCAAAAAACGTAACAAATCCCAACAAAGAACATATAATCAATACTTCAGAACAATGTGGACAATCAGGTAGTGGTTGTTTCGAATGTTGCAAAACCTCTCAGTTAATGGACAGAAATTACGCTAAAGCACAACGAAATATACACTGGAGACCATGTGAGATGAAACCGAAAAAAGCATTAACTTCGTCCTATAAGTTTTTAAAAACTCACCTCGACACTGATTATCAAGATGACTGTTCTGATATGTACGGTCCAGGTGATGATACCCAACATGAATTAAATGTCTCGGATGTTACTCATGGAACAGATGGTCAACAGACTCCATGTACATTAGATGAAGAATGTGGACGAACTACACTTCTTCATAATTCGCAGGTATTAGAGCATAGGTCGAGAGTAGTTCGAAGACGCAGACGTCACAATAGTTACAATTCAAAGCCTGGTAACTCAAGTCGTGGACACGATGCAGATGTAGAAGAGAGCGAAGGTGAACTTATAACTGTCCCATCTAGAAAAGATGTTGGGGAGATTGGTTTCAGTGATCAAATTGTGGATGGCCTGAATCCTGAATTCATTCAACAGTTACGACTAAAAGGAGGTGTTGGTTCAGATAACCATTTTGGGTCTTCTAATTCAGATATAAATCCAGATTCCACAGTTCTACGTACGATAAAACGAGTATCTGAATCTCCATTCAAATCTTCAAAATTACATACGTCTGCCAAATTACCAAATACTCTGGGTGATTTTTCAGCCGTAAGCGTTTTATTCTTCGTAAAACTTATTTCTTTGTGTGAGTTAATAGATATTTAACGTCAAAACTTTCGTCAGTGAGGCAACATAGTTAAAGTTCGATTCTCATGTATGGCACAATGATTAACTGATCAGTAGCATATTTCATACCTAAACCGGAAGACTAAATCGTATGCTGCCTGCCTATAATATAACTTACCAGATTTAAGTTCACATTAATCAGTCAGTCATAAGACACGGAGAACCTGGCACATATGTGTATTGGTTCACGCCCCCATTCCACATTGGTGCAGCGAGATGAGATTATCGAAACAAATGCCAGACAATTATATCTATTCGTAGTATCGTTAGCTGTACAAAAAGACAGTGAATTTTTGTAATAAAACGTGAAGTAATTTTAAACTCAGGAAGTTATAAAAGATAAAAAGGAAATGCATGTGGATTATTGGGATCAATTCTGAGCTATATCATCCATCTCCAACAGTAGTCACGTGGGTTCCAACCTTATCTTTGATCCAATGTGTTTGGTTTGAAGGTCAGTAATTCTAATCAGCTGCCTAAACCCGAAATAAATGAGGAGTAATTTAAAACATATGGCCCACTCGTTGTGTTATAAAACCTAAGGGCTTACAGATTCCAAGTTTCAATTATACATACTTTACCTAATATTTATAATTACACTTGTTACCCCTCGTGAAGGAGCATGGGCCGCTCACCAGCATTCTTCATCGAACTGTCCTGAGTAATCCTTTCCAGTCGTTATTGATTCTTTTCATGTCTGATTCCAGTTGCCGACGCAATGTGTTCTTTGGCCTTCCTCTTTTTCGTTTCCATTCAGGATCCCTAGGTTAGCGCTTGACTCGTGATGCAGTTTGATGATTTCCTCAATGTGTATCCTATCCACTTGCAACGTCTTTTCCTAATTTCCTCTTCAGAAGATAGTTGGTTTGTTCTCTCTCACAGTAGGATATTGCTGATGGTATGTGGCCAACGGACATTGAGTATCCTGCGTAGATAATTGTTTATCAACACTTGTAATTTTTTGATGATGGTTGTGGTAGTTCATCAAGTTTCAGCTCCGTACAGTAGGACTGTTTCGATGTTCGCAATGAAGATTCTGACTTTGATATTGGTTGACAGTTGTTTTGAGTTCCATATGTTCTTCAACTGTAGGGATGCTGTCCTTGCTTTGTCGATCCTCGCCTTTATGTCTGCATCAGATCCTCTACGTTTATCTATGATGCTGACCAGATACGTGACACTCTCCGCCTCTCCCAGGGTTTCTCCATCAAGTGTGATTGAGTTGGTGTTCTCTGTGTTATATTTCAGGATCTTGCTTTTTCTTTGTGTATGATGCGGTTCACTGCTTCAAAGGCTCCTGATACACTCTTTGTCTTGACCTGCATTTGTTGTGTATGGGATAGAAGGGCCAGATCATTTGCAAAGTTCGAATCGTCTAGTTGCACCCAACCTGTCCATTTTATTCCGTGCTTCCTGTCAGATGTGGAGGTCTTCATAATCCAGTCAACCACCAGAAGAAAGAGAAAGGGCGAGAGTTAGCAGCCTTGTCTGAATTTGATCTGTTGTGACTTTAAGGCTTGCTAGTTGTCACGTGATTTATTCGCCAATCGAAATACGACTTATTCAACCTTAGTATTGTGCTAAGTCAATGACGTTCGACCGGTTTGAGCAGCCTAGCGTCCTTATCGGTCCTGCTTCCCACCTAGCCCTGGCTGTTAAGTCCAGAACACCAATCTCAGCCTCTGCAATATGAATCATTTATTTCGAACATACTGGGTTTATATACCAGCCAAACAGACCGCATCACACCATAAAATAGGAAATAACATTTATACAAGATCAAGCCAAAATGTGGCTGTGAACGTGGGAGACTGTAATCAATGAACTGAACATAACTTAAGAACAATAAATCGTACAATAATAATCTATAGGTCAAATTGAAACTTATAGGAAGAGGAATATAGATATACACAATTTAGTTACTGAATAGTTATACAATAACTATATATATATATCTACATATATATATAATATTAGTCCATTAATAGTTCTCGTAATTTAATCTTCACTAGGATATAACACGGTACTTACTTGGAATGCGTCAGTCAGCTGTTCTCCATGCAACACTTTGCACCATAGTCTGTCGTTGCGGACGATTTTCTCAGGTACATCATAGTGTCGAAGAAGGTCCCATAAGGTTCTTCTGTCCACACTATCAAACGCCTTCTCATGGTCAATGAAGTTGATGCATAGTGACGAGTTCCATTCAATTGATTGTTCATCGATAATCGGTGGTGTCACGATTTGGTTTTGAGACCGATTCTCACAGAATCCAGCTTGTTGATCTGGACGTTGGGGACCTGTTGTTGAGAGCTATCTTGAATTCGACTAGTTTGTCACTGTGTCGAGTGAAGGCTGTATTGAACCTTTGTACTGCTGTTTCCCCAGTTGTCCATTGCTTCTGTGGTTTCATTTTCACCCGGGCAACCACCAGGTAGATGGTGATCTGAAGTTATATCAGCTCCTCTCTTGGTTCTCACGTCTTCCATTGTCCTTGTGAATGTTTCAGTGATACAAATATGATGGATCTGGTTTTCTGTGGTGTGGTCTATTGAGATCCATGTAGCTTTGTGTACGCGTTTGTGTGGAAGTATTGTGCCGCCTATAACCAATTTGTTGAATGCACATAGATTTGCAACTTCCTCGTCATTCCCGTTCCTGTCTCTCAGTCAGTTCATGTCGTCTCATGATATCTTCATAACCGTTGTTGTCCACTCCAACTTTTGCGTTTAAATCTCCCGTCACGATGGTTAGGTTCTTTCCTGGGCATTTCTCTATGATCGATTGCAGCCTCTCGTAGGACTGATCTTTGTCGTCGTCATCGCTATCATCGGTGGGTGCATAACATTGGATAATATTCATTGTGATTCCCTCCTCCTTTGTTTTGAATGATGCTTTGATGATGCTGGATCCATAGTTTAAATTGCTTAAATTATTTATTCTGGTTAGCGATTTTTAGCAATGTTTTTTACGGGACTGGGATGCTGACTCTATGCCCTACCCTTCTTTACCTGGGCTTGGGACCGGCAGTTGCCTTAGAGGAGCTATAGGCGGAGTTTTCAGCTATACGTATCGTAGATTTAAAAATTGAAAGATATTAAGATGGTGATCAAGTGAAAATTTATCTACCACAGTGCACAATGATAACTCATCGTCCTGCATAAAAAACATTAAGAATCCATGATCTGTGATATTAGTCTGAATCAATGTTTTTCTAAACTAAAATGTAACTTCTGAAAGCATCGAGTCTGTCTAGTTATTGTTTAAATGTTCTTAAGATGTTCTGTCTTTCTATCTATTCTCTCAAAAAATGTACGACTTTAGATTTATTTTTCATAAATCCGAAAATCCGATGTAATTTTCCTTACTCTGGTAATTCTAGTATTTTCTCTTAAATACCAAACGCATCTCCGAAACGTATATTTTCCTTATTTATATATGTTAGGTAAAGCGTCTATATTTGCACATGCTTATGTTCATAGGTATCTATTTTTATAAAGTGTTATTATTTCGTAAGGTATCCAGATGAATTCAAAATCGCTACAACTTCGCCAAGTAAAACTATACATTTTAGATTGGATGGCTGTTAGGCAGACTGAAAACCAACTATTGGTAGCGGGTTTTCATGTCGTATCCATAGCAAAAGGAAATATGTTCGGTAGAGAACTGTTTCAACTGAGTATTATAACACTGTAGGAGGTTTACTAGAAATATAATAATTATTTTTAATTTATAAAGGCATTTAGTTCTTGCATTTTTATTTAATTAAAGTGTATATGTATATATGCTGTACTAAATTCTTTTCAATAGTGCACTGTTTGATACATTCATAAACTCATAGTGTGTTCAATAAATGTTAAGTTATGATGACTTCTTAACTTTCATTTTTCAAATAAGATGACATTTTAAGTTCATTTCATTCCACTGTCCTTCAACACTCAAATAATGTGATCACTTGAATTGGTTTATGATTCTAAGATGCTAAATAAGCTGATATCATTATGTGTTCTCGTGCTCACTTTTAGCATGTTAATTAATGTGTTTTATTGCAGATCTTAAAGATTGTTGTTGATTATCCTAGGTGGCTATAACTATAAATATTTTTCATCGAATCCAAGAATGTACGTTTATGTGCACCCTAGTTACAACTTATGTAACCCCAAGTACAATATCCCAAATATAGTTTCATTTATTTTGGATGGATCTAAAAAAAGGTTCTTCCATACTTGTTCAGTGTTACGTAGTTGGAGGTAGTTGGCAGGAAACGTTGAGTTTAGTTTTCATGTTATTTACCACTCGCTAGCAAGGCATACCTGCAATCTTGAGGAATTTAATACTTCATGTGGGATAGGGACGTGCGTCACCCAGCTTCACAGTCTGAGATGTTACTGAGTTATTCGAGCCGCAACTGTCTTCTTATAGCAATGAGATACTACTGATTGTCCACTAAGTAATGCCCATTGTCATGTTTGCATAACCCTTAATCGCTAATCAAACTCTATCGATCTAGTTGTTTAAACTAGTGATTACACTGAAATTTAATCGACGGAATTCGATCAGTACTTAAGGACTAAACCAATCGATTATAGACCTGGTAATTAGAATGATTCATCAAAAGGTTTCTATGATGATTAGAATCTTTATTTTAAGATCTATAAATTCTGCTAAAAGATTGTTGTGTGTCATCTAATTTATGTTTATACTTTTCACTCGAGTTGATGAGATGAAAAAATTGTTTAATAATTTCAGCAGTCCTATTCACACTGTTTCATAAAACATTCAGGTTAATAAACAATTGATTACTGTTTTCATTCTTTTGAACTTTTTTTCATTTCAGAATACTGAGTCTTCAAATAATGTAGGTGTTTCGAAAACACAATCTATCAGTGATTCTCCCATCCCACTGAAGATCGATCAATTCTCTGAACTTGAATGTCTTCCACCTCATCTGTCTCATATTTCTTCTTTAAGTAGTTCTTTTGATTCTTTCATTGGATCTAGTCGCCGTTCATTAAAACGTTCATTGTCGATGAGCTTTCCAGTGCATAGTAAAAGTACTACAACTAATATGTTTCTAAATAATAATCTAATGTTGAAAAAATCATTCTCTGATGGGTTATTAAATTGTTCAATGAACTTTGATTCGTCACAGTGTCATCAATCCGATAATGAATTACTTGACGCATTGAAGTCACCGTTTCAACAAAAGAGAGACTTTCGACCCAACTACAATAATACGAAGGGTCAGGTTAGAGAAGCTTTAAAGTTATGTTCAAATCGACGAAATCGTTTGAGCAGTGAAAATATTTCATATCGTAAAATATCATTATCATCGCATTCTTCGGGAGCTGCAGAGTCGTCCACTAATTCTGCTCAATCTTTCAGTTCTGTGAGAAAGTTTCCAAAAGGAAATGGTCGCATTTTTGGTAAATTTTCATGATTTCTCCTTAATAACCTTTTAAAAAACATTATACAACCTGAAAAGTGGGGTTGTTAAGTGTTATCTCTAGTTTTATAGTTCCATTCCGAAAGGAGCTTATTCACTGTTTTTGATTTTACACTTTCATTATCAGAAATATCGAAGTAATGAGTTACGCAATGTTATATTCATATTCATTGCAATAAAGCTACAATGTAGAATTAGTGTATTTACAATTAAGATTGGTTTGTGTTGTTTGTATGCTATGATATTTACGAATTATTACTCAGTATTCTGTACGATCGTCTCTTAACCACTGGGTCACGAGCTAAAATCTACTGTTTACTACATGTAGGTAAAGTTTTAGTGGTATCAATGGCTTTCACAAACATACATTGATAGCATGTTGCATATTTAATTGCTTTCTACGAACATTTGATTTAAAATTATCAATGTCAGTCAACATATCAAAGTTACCGATTATAATTTGTTTATTCGTTTTATTAATGTTTAGTATAAAGTAATTCGAATGTTATATTCACATGATTACCTAACTGTAGAGATTATTATTATTATTATCCTCACCATCGTAAACATGTGTGCTAGGAATCCCAAAATTTTTGAAAGTAAAAGCCATAAATGTGTACCTCTATTGTTTATTGTTTAATTTTATGTTGATCAAGATGAGTAATGTGCTCTTTGCTGATAATAATAATTCTATGTTGTCTTAGAACATTTTATTTAATAATCTCAGTTGGATACTTTGCTAAAGTAGTTTCAACTGAGTTGTAGATAATGAGTGTTTTATGCTGAGCAGAACTGTATTTGAGACTTCATTACATCATATTTTTACATGTATATTTCTCTACTAAGCACGTACATTTTTCTCAATTTACTACACCACATTAACATAGCGAAATGCAAAAGTAGAATAAGCACTAACAGTATAGGTTGTAGTAGGAAAGATTAGTATCAACAATATAATTCGTGAAGGAAATATACATTCGTGGAATCGAAAAAGAATATAAGATGGTTTCGAAACTTAGGTACTAAGGGAAGACAAAAATTGGATGCACCTAGGTCATCGATAACGAATATATATATATATATATATATCCTGATTATTATTATTATTCAATTATTTAATCCAGGTTGATTGAATATTCTTACTGACTGTACCACTTTCTAATTCTGTATTGTGATTTTCAGAATTGGAATCCGTACATGATGTTGGTGCAGAATTGACAGCCGATCCAAAATGGTACTGACAATATCGATTGTATTGTTAACTTCATATAAGTGACGCTTTGTTTATTTTGGGTGACCTTTAAAATAAATATATGTGCTTATATCAATATCCACCTGTCTATGCTTAAATACTTCGTTATTTGGAGTGTATACACCTTATCATTTATCGTTAATCAATTATACGTGGTAAACACTAGTTACTCAAGCGTGATTAAAAAGTAGGTTAAAGTAAGCTTTGATAGTCGGACCGATTAAACGTCGAATCACATAAAAAAGAATCAGTTGAATTGAATTTCTTAAGATCTTTTAGGTTAAACCATTGTAATATCATGATCAAAATGTCACTTAACCTTATCGACCTATTAATTTTACGAAATCATTTTGAAAAGCATATTAATTTAGTACTCCTAAACATGAACTATGTTGACTAAATACTTAACCATAATCAGATTTAGTTTCAATTCGCCACGTCAAGTAATCTGTGCTCATATCTGTTATCATCAATTTGTGTAATTAATTTACTTTCGACATTTGGATTGACAAAATGTTCCACTTATTTCAGCTTCTGTTGTGATAACGAAAGTGACTACAAAAATGTCTTGATGCTAATGAATAAGAATTGAATGGCATCTAATGAAATGTGTTATATATCATGTTAACATCAACATCTACAAATTACCAATGAGCTGAGCCATATATATGTACTTACGTTTCTGTTGAATTATCGTCAAACGGATAAATGGGGAAATGTTTAGTTGAGTTTTCACTATAGATCCTACCCTTGTTGGTTACGACAGAATTATTGTTTGAGGCAACTGTTCATTCAAATGAGTCTGGACAGTGAGAACATGGTTTTTCATATCTCTCAGTCGTCTAAATATGTTGAAGATATTTTGTGTAATAAAGGTGCAAAAAATTAACTGCATGATAACATAGTATGATGTGTAAGTAGGTAACGCATAATAACTGTCTTTTCCAAGTGCATCATTTTATTATGTGAATTATGTAGTTTTAAAAACAAGTGACAATCATCATATTGTTATATGCTGTATACTGGTGCTAATTATAATACTATCATGTTGTTTTCATGAATATAATCTAAATATTTGTTATTGTATAGCATAAGCGTGAGTCATTTGTGTATTTCTCTTAGTTCTTCGTATACTTGATTGTAAAATATAATAAATCACAAGACAAATATCCTCAGTAGTAGTAAGTATTGCACCAAATACTTAAGTATTTTTATGCATTTGACGGAATACCATAAAATAGCAATAAATATTTTGTGTATTGAAATGCAGTTATAATTAACATCTAATTTTATTCACTTAGTAATTTGGGTATGCTCAATAATGCTTTTGAGTTTGTCAACTGTACAATAACAATCCTTGTTAAAGTCGAAAATCCCACATTTAATAATGAGGAGTTTAGTGGAATCTATTTACTTGTGTACGCATAAGATTATTTTCTTATGTATGTGTAAAAGTTAGAAACTGTAAATCATTTGACATGAACTCGACTTCTGAAGTAATATTCTAGTCACTAACTCACTCCTGAGTTTAATCATACGAAATGTAAGTTACATTTTGTCAGAGTTTGATAAAACATTTATTTAATGGTTTTTAGTTTTTATTGATCTGCCATCTTATTTTAATCAGTGGATGAGCCATTTCTTAAATTAGTGAAATCTCAGGTCATCTTACTTCAGTCTATTTTTATCAATGGGAGCTAATCCTCAAATTCTGCAAAATCTCTTGTATTGAACGGATGAACTAGTGAAACTAAGTTCTTTTTTATTGTCTGCAACGATGAATTATTCAGCAGTTGACTAATATTCTTTTTTATCAACTTTATTTAATTGTAATCAAAAGTGGTCGTTCTAGTGTTGACAAACTTTTGGACAGGAAGACATATTCTAGTTACACTGATATATTTAAATCTCAACTGATTGAAGACATGAAACCTACTGTTCAACCACTTGAGCTATCTAAAGAATCCCAAAAGGTATGCAACTTATACTGATCAATTTTTCCTTTAATTGTGTCTTATTCCCATCAGTAAATGTATTGATTTTGTCTGTTAAAATTTCAGGAAAATGTTTATTAGTCAAAATTTGTTTCACTTAGTCACATTCTAACACTCCGATCCGTGGTTTTAAGAATTATTTAGAAGCTTAACTTAGTTGCTCTTGATTCTTGCCAAGCTGAATGTCTAGAAGTCAGCTTGTTATGGTATCCTAAATGTCAATTTTATGCTTTAATCTCTGTCTTGTAATGTTCCTGTGTGGTCATGACAGAATTGTTAGCATCCCTGTTATTCAAACTGTCACAATTCAGAAGCGAACTCAATGACATTTCCATTGCAATAATTTATGTGGGACGTTTGATTTCCACCTACTAATAATCAAAACGAAGAATAGATCATATCAGTTATGATGAAGTGAGAAATACATGGGTATTTCTTGATGCAAATAGTGCTATGGTAAGTCTTCGAATAATACTGTTAGTACAAATATTACACACACCAGATTAGCTACTTCGACACATGCTTTTTTGTAGTAAAGCTAGGCGTGGTATACTGAAAAGTGGTTTCTGTTCATGAAACTGTTTAACTGGATCGTGTTGGTAGGTTCAGACTACCTGTCTGATTCTTGTAGCTAAAGTTTAGAGACGGGTAACATGACTCGCTTTCAATGGCTCAGATACATTAGCTCTTAGTCCTTTCTTGGTAACTAAGTTTCTAAACAATCTTGTATTCTCTTTGGATTACACTAATCTATATTTTCTCGAATCATATTGTTGTACTCATGTTTTTTCTATCTGACGTTTGTGCTGATGATGTCGTTCAGAAGAACGATGAGAGCTCCACGACCAAAACATCCAACTCAGAGAACAAAACTCCATCAAATGTCTGGATTATCTTAGCAGTCGAAATTTAAATAATCCTATTGTTCCGCTCAGCAAGCTGGTCCGAAGTTCCTCAGAGAAATAGTCAAAAGAAAATTATCAAAGATGAATAATATTTATAAACCACTTTCTGTCAAGTTATTCACTCAGATTTTGACCAATGTTCATATTACGGATAACTAACAGTTTCACTTGCCAAGTTCTGTCGTATTCTATATCAATTGTGAAAATCGATTGGGTCGATTAATTTATTCGTTTGCAAATACTAGCGTTTTATTTTTTAAAATAAAATAAAGATTGCTCATAATTTCGTCTGTCTCAAATAAATTTTGGAATGGATCATGATCATAGGAAAGAATTTGTATCACTTTATCTGAAGGTGACAGTTTATGTCTTGAAATGATTGCTGAAAATACAGCACTATATAGGATATTCTTTTGTAATGAACTAAGTGTAATAATACGAAAGTATTATAGTATTCTGGTATAATTCAAATACATCACTAGTTTAATTACTCAACGGTCAGATAACAAAAAGGGTAGATTTTTCAAATCAACCTTAAAGGATTGATAAACTGCAGACACGTTTGTATTTTAGTTGGCATTCGTAAATAATATGTCGGGATATTTAGCTTCATTAAAAAATGATTATCAGTTTGTTTATATTATTGTATCATATGAATAATGTTTTTCGTGACTTTTAGGATTCATTGTGTGACGTTCAATGTACACTGTATATTTACAAATATGTAATATAAATCATAAACATGTGAAGTTTTATTTTTCATTCCATTCCTTTTTTTGCATGTACTTTTGATAACATACTTAACAATTTTATTATGATATTTACAATAGTTGAATGAACTGAACGAAAAACGTGACTTACTACAAGATAATTATGGTAAGCCTAATTTTTATGATTATTGATTCTCCCGCGGTATTCATTTTCTCTGGGTTTTTTTCATAATTTTTACGAATAATATTGAATACTGATCATTTGTGCTCATAAGGTCTTAAATTCACATTTTATACACTTATCGGTTACTTAACCCAATTCATAGGTATCAGTGCCAGGGTTAGACTTGATAGTTTCAAATAAATTTAGGATTCGGTAGAGAGTTAATAGATAAATATATTTTTGTTGTATCCCAATGAGTAGAAAAATAGTATTTCTGACGCTTCGTGACTTAATGTAAGCCAATTCTTCAGAGTAAATAAATGACAAAAATATACTTACGATTAACGTAATTCAGTTGGGTTCGTCTACTACTAGAATAGCTGTAGTGTTGGTGTACTATGGAATGGTATTTGTCATCTATTTACACGTTGAAGCATCCAAAAGCAAATTTGGATAGCCTTAACTTTGAACTCTGAAACGAATAGTTTTAAGATGTTCAGATCTGTCCATAGTATATATAATGGCTTATTAATAATTAATAACGTGACTGTTAAATTGAATTCAGACCAAAGTGGACAGATTATTTTTAGATGGAATTGTTCATAATTTATGTAAATGTTTATGCTCTTACTGGTTAAATCGGCATTGGTTTGGCACAGCGCCAAAGTCATATAAGCTGTGTTTTAATTGGCGGTTAAATCACGTGATAATTTACAGGTTCATAAGTCATAACAATTTCACGTTATCAATATTTTCATCTACATGTTTACAATTGAATTTACTTTAGTTAGTGTTGATGACATACGAATTTCAGGATTCATGTTTTCAAATACAAACCAAGAAAAAAAAAGATGTAATAAATTGTTAACTATTCAAGTAGGATCATCTTATGAAACTGGGTATTTTTTAATTCTTTATTTGTTTCATTTACAAACATATATTGTTATTGTAGGTTAAATTGAAATTTAAAGAGATTTTTCATCAAATTCATTGTTCTCTTCGTTAATTTATATTCTATTCGTTCATTTAGAATTTTATGTAGCAATTATGTTACCATAAATTTTAGTTATACGTCATTACTTTTGATCATACTTTTATTCATTCATTGTTCTCATCTATGAATATATTAATGTATTAAAACTTAGTTATTTGTTAACATTTATCAACAGTTACAAAGTTAAAGAGAAAAATTCCCTTTAAAATATTTCTTTTTATCTATGAAATATTTTATCATGTTTTCTTTTTTCATTATTTACTGAATAAAGAGTAGGAATTTTAATTTATTCATTGAGTTCACGTGGTATAGGAAAATTTTCCTTATTTTCATGAAAATATTCTACATGAATAATAGTCATAGATTTTTTCATTCCTTTAATGGTTTGTTGAAATAACCTTGGAGATTTATTTGTTCACGTGATTCTGTATAAGATTTCGAAAAAAAGTACTTTGTTAGCTATAAAACGAACGATTTGCTCTTATTTTTTTAAACACATGAGTTTCCTTTAAATGCTACACAAAAAATGTTTCTTAAGAGGAATGTCTTTTCTTTAAATACATCGTATTTTTTCCCCTTTCACTTTCCATTTTTATTATATGGTTTAAACATTTAAGTTCCATCGAAGATTTTTTTTTCTTCCTAACATACTTATCATTTCTAGTCACTCTATTCTCATAAAATCAATTATTCTCTAGATATTGTGTAGGCGAATATGTTCGCATTATATTCATTGGTGTGAAGCATAAAGAAACTGTAGTATGGATATATTCTTTCATGAATGCAATAAAGTTTTGGGCGGTCACTTGTTTTTTCGTTCTTGATTTTTATTGTTTGTTATTTCATGTTTTATGAAATTACAAGTTTCAACTTTATTGTTCAGTAAAAATATCCAACGTATATAAATCCAACTTATTATTAGTACAATGAAAATCAATTGTAATGACTATTAAATAAATAAGTTAAGATTTTCAGTGGAAAACTGATAAATCTTAAGAGATTGCTAAATAACACATTAGTCTGCTCTGCTGGGACTTTTGGGTCGGGTTTATTTCAGATATCTAAGTAGTAATTCTTGTTACGTTTTACTTTGTTTCAAATCATGAGGCATTTTCAATTGTTTTGTCACTAGTAAATCTTTATTTACATTTTATAAAAATACTTTATAAAATTTATATCAGTATATCTTTTCTGAAATGTTACAAATATTTTATATTTGTTATTTTATCTTAAAAACATAACTTAGGTCATTCGGAATTTAAGAACAAGTCTTATGAATGTATTAATAAAGAAGACACCATTACCGTGTTTAATCGACAACGTGCTAAATATTTACGCTTGTTTTTACAACGTGCCTTTCACCTACAACATCCACGTGTTGTTATAAATTCGAATCACACTGATACAGATATGCTTGAGCCAGATTCTGTTGTATTAAATAGTAAATGGTCAAATGAAAATCCGAAATATTCAGGTAAATATGTCCATTCATCTAAAAATCCTGATATTAATTTTAAACCATCTAATCAACGTATATCGTCGTTGAATTCCACAAACAAAAGTTGTTTAAAATCAACTCCACCGAAAATATTTTACAATTGGTCTGAGGCTAATTCTTTGTCTGGAAATATTAATGATCGTTCACAAACGACACCAACAACGGATGTTACAAAGTATGTCTGATCTTTTAAGATTTGAAATATGCGATTTCAATTTTGATTAATTAATTTTTTTTGAAACTAGTAATTTCATCAATTTTGTTAGCCCTACACTAATGCTTGTTTGCAAACGTTTCACCTTGTTTATCTATACTGGTTTTTCATTAATCTTACTTCTCCATGTGTTATCGATTACTGATCGTTTACGTCGAAAACCTGATAGTATTCAATATCTGTTTTTAACTGTCCAGTTTAGAAGATAGGCGTCCATTCACATCTAGTTTTCCAGTGTTATTTCCGTTTTATTACGCTGGTGATCTGAAAAGTCTCAAGAATAATAAAGTCATTAATGTATTTAGTATATGACAACTTTAAGTGTAATTTTTTCACATTATTTAAAACTAAGATTCCAACAGGCGCATGAAGTAAAATACTATCTGCATCAACTTTGTAGCGTTTTATAAGGAACGAAAACTCAGCCTATATTTGAACTCCTAAATCCATTGTACGTCTAGTGACCTTATGACATCATTGGGTAATAATAGGTTGTAATACATAAAGTTTTTAATTATATTTTTTCTGTATTATCTCTCGTTTTTAGAAAATACTAACATGGCTGTGTAAATAATCGTCTGATCATTTTGGTGATTAATCATTTGTGGGATGTCAGTAAATGTTGTAAATCAACAGATTCAGTTTCATAATTAGTTATTCACTCGGCTTCATCGTAATATTTTGTGTCCGCGATCTATCATTAATCTATTGTTAGTTTTATCGATCGAATCGTTCACAAAATTAAAAATTTCCTTAAGTTCAGGCAACTTGTCTCACACTAACGCGCTCATCATGGCGCTTCACGATATTAATTATTAACAAGAGTCGCTGGTATACATTTATTTTTCCCAATTTCATTTGTTGAGTTACGATGAATTCTTCGAGTTATAAGAACCAGCTTATCAAGGCTAAGCTAAACATTCATTAATTACTTGCCACAAAATTTGATGGCTCAATTGATTCTCGATATGCACTAACAAATTACTGATATAGACACCACTTTCATCAACACTCCGTGTTAAGATAAATAAGAAGTGCTTAGTTGAGAAAGTGGCTGATTTATTTTTTGGCGAAGTTCTCCTAAATATTAATATAGAGACTTCACTAGGTATTTTGGATCTATTTAATGACCAAACTGAAAAAAATATTTCCAAACAACTCCTACGATAATTCAACATACTGTCATTGTTGCACCGGATCAGTTGAAGTAAGGATGCTCAAATCATCAGTCGCTGATTCCTGAACAGCAGTTTTTATGTACACTAGTAGTTATTCTCGATTATAATTCCCTGATTTATTACTTGTTGCAATTCAGTATGATATCTATTATCTTGTATCTGTATCCAAAGCAGATATGTTCAATTGTGTTAAAGCACAAGGATCCTTTTATGAGATTTTCGAGACTGGTTATGCCAAAAAATATTTCAGTGAAGAATATTTTTGCATCGAGATTGGATTCCTAAAACGTATAGACAATGTATGCGATACATTTTCCTCATATGGTTTACTTACCTCACATTAGAAGTAATAATTTAATACAATGGATTACTCATATTTCTTCATAACATTTATAGATGAGCGTTTTATGTTCTTCTTTATTCAAATGTATATTCATGGAAAGATTACGGCCTTTAAATCCCATTCGTATCTCAACTAATTTGCTTTTTTATTTTGTGTTAAACGTTTACTACTAATACATTTATAGGTAGCGTCAAAAATAAACCCAATATTTGAGCTAGAATTCCTATTCGTCCATACCAAATCATTTTCAAAATCCAATGACTGCATAGATTTCTTTGTTTTATAAATTCCTGGTTTTAGTAACCCTAATAAATTTAATTTATTACTGGTGTGTTAAACTACTATGTATGGTTCTCGAAACATGATCCTGATTATTGAACTTGTAGTAAAGGTGTCTGGCAGCATAAGATCTAGCATATTTGTCAAGTGTTTCTCAAAGCTTATACCTAAACCTATTCGTGAGCTTCCAGTACTTTGAGTTTTTTTATGTTTATCCTCCTTCCGTCCCTTGAAATATCATTTTCCAAACATAAGATCTCTTTATATCCTTTCTACATGTATACTTTTCAGTTCACAAGATGCGGTTACTCATTCTTCTAAACGACACATGAAACAGTACATTGGTCCTGTCAACGGTTTTGTCCGTAATGTGTATTCGCATTCACATTATTTTTCAAAAAATGAATCTCAAGATACAAATATGAATGGTCGAGTAAGGTCTATTTATTCTTTAATTTCTTACATTCACTAAGGCTTTCAGTATTACTTTTTAAATGATGTCTCTTAATATAGTGTTGTAAATATGAGGTCACACATTTTTACATGCCTAGTATTTAATAGGGATTTCGAAATCTGTAAGATATCATTTCTTTAATTATTGTTACTTTGATTTGCATTCAAAAGACGGTATATATGTTCTTACCGTACAACTGCGTTCATACTTGTCGACTATAAGCTGATTGAATTGAAATCAGTTTCCACTTAACACCAGAATACTGAATAAAACCATCAGTATTATTGTTGGGGATGCTAGATCTCAAGAACTCACTTGGTAAATGTCTTATTTTTGTAATTTTATTTTGGAAATTTGAATTTCTTGTTTTCGCATCAAAAGCTCCCATTTTCACCTTCATATCGTATTTCCCACTTGGCAAGACCTTAAACGTCAATGGTTCGTTGTCTCTTCTAATATGTTACTTTGTAACGTTTCCCAAGGACACTTCGATGCTATATATATACGCTTGAGTTTTTCTCCTTGTTGTCCGTGCTTCTGGCTGCTAGTGGAATAGATTTTCCCTCTTCTGAACCCAGACCTCTCTCCCTAGTTAGCGCAACTGGGACGCATTGTAATAGTTTACTTATTTGGCCATTGTGTCACTGAGTCTTCTTTCCGTTCACAGATTTGGGTGGACTCATAATCTCTTCAAAAATAGCACTTATACAGGCCACTACACTGACAGGCTTAAATACTACATAAATTATTGTCACTGAATATAGTGTGGTGAATAAAATTATTTTTGTCAGTGAATGATGAGAACTAGTGAGCTACTGAATATGAAGCAGAACTGAATGGTTGGTTTATCTTGGTTCGGTTCCACTCAGCCACACTAATCTCCTATTACTTAGTGACGTCGAATACTAGATCTATACACCCTTAGTAGTAGCTAGTTTGAAGTTTAATTCTGAACTTCCTGATGGCTTGTCCCAACCAGCGGAGTCCAGCCATGTTAAGAGAGAAATATAAAGAATGAGATTGTTATAACTTGAAAAAGCTGATTTCTCTTGATACAACCGCGTATAACTGAGCACTAGAACTTCAACCCCTTCCAAGTCGCAATAAGAAGACAGAAGACTAACGAAGGAATATTATTCCAAACAATGTCAAACATAGTACAAAAATTGTCAGGTATTTATAGTTTTTAGTGAGAACAAAATCATCATTACAGTCTTCCAATCCGCGTACAGGGGGTTATTAGCATTATCCAATGGGGAAGCTACACGTTGGAATTCTAGAACATTCTTCCGAAAGGTGATTGGATGGAACGTCTTCGGCTCCTTATGAGCCTCTTACAGCTTCCTCGAGTTCACCGGTGGTCCGTCGTCACACCTCCCCCCTTTAAAGTCCGATGTGTAAGATTTTTTTCTTGGATCCACCTGAAGCTTGGGTGTCGCATTCCTCTTGCGATCCATTACTCTCGAGGGTTGTACAGCTTTCTCTCTGCGTCGTTTGTCTTTTCGATATTTGCGCTCATGATGGTTCTTCTGAGACGAATCTACGAGCAATTGAAATGGAAGCCGGTTTTCTGTGACCACTGTACTATCATTTCTTTGCATTTGATTTATATGTCTTATGCATTTCCCGACATCTTTCCGGACTAGGTACAGCACATTTCCGATTCGACGTTCTATGACACCTGGTTCCCACTTCCTATTACCTTGATACGATCTGACAAGTACCTTTTCACCCACCTGGAAGCTACGATTGACCTTACGATTTTCATTCGTGGGTTTATTTGTCTTTCTGGGCGGCAACATACTGTTAAAAACTGTCCGGATTTTCCTTCCGAACATACACTCGGCCGGAGACTTTCCTTCTGGTACTGCCGGATTAGGGGTAACTCTGTAAGACATCAAGAACTTATTAATCACTTGTTCCGGGACACCCTCACCTCCCCCTTTGACCAGAGCTCTTTTAATTGTATCCACGAATCTTTCTGCCTGGCCATTCGACTGAGGATGGTATGGAGGAGATTGTAGATGCAATATGCCATTCTCGTTGCAGAAGCGTTTGAAGGCGGATGACATAAACTGAGTACCATTGTCGGTCACTAAGATCTCTGGAACCCCAAAACAGGCAAACAATCCTGACAATCTTCTTATGGTAATCTCTGAAGTCGTATTCGGCATGTCATATACTTCCGGCCATTTTGTGAAAGCATCTACAACAACTAAGTAATTCCTGCCTTGTATCGGTCCGGCGAAATCAGCATGTATTCTTTGCCAAGGCCCGTCCGGTTTAGGCCATGGTTGTGGCTCAGCTCTCGTTGGATTCTTTGCAGCCTCTTGACAGGACCAACAGCTGCGACATTTTTGCTCTATCTCATGGTCCATTGACGGCCAGTATGCATAGCTACGAGCTAGTGACTTCATTTTACTTATCCCCGGATGCCCGCTGTGGAACTGTTTAATGACTTGGTGTCGAAGATTTCTGGGGATAACGATACGATGGCCAAACATTATACACGAATCGATAACTGTTAATGACTCTCGTCGACGAAAGTATTGTAAGAGTTCTCCGTGTAATCTAGATGAAGGCCATTTATTGAGTATGCAATGGCGAACAATCTTTAATACGTTATCCTTCTTGCTGGCCTCTTTAATGGCTTCAAATGTGACCGGGAGTCCGGAAACTGCGTCTGACAATATTTTGTGAACCTCGGCCTCGACATCTATAGCAGCTACAAGCACCTCTTCTTCTTGTTTTTCATGCAGACCAATCAATCTTGAGAGTGCATCTGCCTGTCCGAAATCCGTTGTTGGTTGATAATTTATCTTGAAATCATAACCCAGCAGTGTAGTAGCCCATCTCTGTAGCCGGTTTGCTGTATATACCGGGATGCCTTTTTTAGATCCAAAAACTGTCAGTAAAGGTTTATGGTCTGTAAGTAAGGTGAACTGCCGACCAAACAACATCTTGTGGAACTTTTTTACAGCAAATATAATCGCGAGGGCTTCTTTTTCAATTTGACTGTAGTTTCTTTCAGTCATAGTCAGAGATCTCGCAGCGTGAGCGATTGCTTTCTCAGAACCGTCAGGGTAGGCATGTGAAATTACTGCTCCAATTCCGTAGTTTGACGCATCTGCTGCGACTATAATTGGAAGATCGGGATCATAGTGTGTAAGTAGAAGATTCGATGATAGAAGCTGCTTCAGTTTTAGGAATGCTTCTTGGCATTCAGTTGACCAGAACCATTTAGTATCCTTTTTCAATAAGCAATTAAGAGGAGCACGATGGCGATGCAGATCTGGCAGAAAAACTCCATAATGACTAACCATTCCCAAGAAAGAACGTAAAGTCGACACATCCGTCGGTGGGGGCATGGACTTAATGGCTTCGACATTTTCAGGATCAGGTTTTCTACCGTTTTTATCAATTATGAATCCCAAATACCGGACTTGCTCCATGTAAAAATCACATTTTTCGGCACGCAGTCTTAATCCATAATCTGCTATGCGTCTGAGAACCGTATCCACCTTATTCTCTAAATCAGCATAGTCTGTACCCATGATCAATATATCATCGAGATAAGCCGCGGTACCAGGAATGTCTTGTAACATAGTGTCCATAACTTGTTGGAAGATTGAAGGGGCAGTCTTTACTCCAAAAGGAAGTCGGTTATATCAGAACAATCCCTTGTGAGTGTTTATTGTCAAGTAATGCTTACACTCATCCGCTACCGGAATCTGTAGATAAGCGTCTGATAGGTCTAATTTCGCAAAATACTTACCCCCATTCAGTTTCGCAAATAAATCCTCTGGTACCGGCAATGGGTATTGATGGGCTTCAAGCGCTTCATTTAATCCAGTCGAATAATCTGCACATAACCGGATACTTCCATTAGGCTTTTTAACAATCACTATTGGAGCTGCCCAATCAGAAAAGTTTACTGGTTCGATTATTCCACTTATTTGCAGACGCTCTAATTCTTGTTCAACAATAGGTAGTGCTGCATAGGGTACCGGACGTTTTGGTCTGAAGACGGGGGTGACTCCCGGTTTAAGAATCAATAGTGCTTTAACCTTTTTGCATTCCCCCAACTCTTCCGTAAACACTTGACTGTGTCTTTTCAATACAACACTCTTCAGATCCTTTTCCACAGGTTTACTGGTTCTCACTGCGCTGCATATGTGGTTAATGGGGTGATTTGCTAATTGAAGTGCTTCTATCAAGTCTAGACCTAGCAAATCTAGTCCTGGATTCTGTGTAAGATATAAAGTTGCATTCGTTTTCGCATTTCCTTTCGAAACTGTACAACAAACCTCTCCAACAATATTTAGTTTTCCTCCAGATGCGCTGTGAGCTAACTGGGTTGTTGGGAGCACCTGTGGTTTACCGATAAGATTCCAAGTTCTCCGACTAATAAGTGTGATGTCAGAAGCGGTGTCGAGTTGCAGGCGGGCACGCTTTTTATTTATATCCAAGTTCACATACTTTATTTGGCGGCAAATTCGTGCTCGATTACGTGATACCAATATTTTGTTAGTTCGAGCACTAAATCTGTATTTCTTCGAGTAGGGTTTCAAAGGATGTCGTTTATGGGTTCTTTTTGTGCAGCAGTTTTCTTTATGTCCCTTGCGATGACACTTGGTACAACAATGTTCTTTATATGGACAGAACCTTTTATAATGCCAACCACCACAAGACCAACATGGAGATGAAGGCTGATTATCTGTGTGCGATGCCTTTCTTGAGCAAGAATCGTTCTTTCCGTTTACAGCACGAACGTATGGCAACTGGCCATTATTTTCGACCATCGAAGTGTCATGCTTTAGGTTCACCAATCTCTGGCACTCTGCGGTTACTTCTTGTAGTGTCATATTCGGACATTGTTCAATTTTACTCAAAATTCTAGTTCTAATATCGGCATCTTCGGGAGATTGGAGGCTGCACACAAATACGAGACACTTAAACTGGTCTTCTGTCATTGCTGATAGTTTGAAACGCTCACATTCACGGTTTACTAAACCCGCATGTTTCACCCAGTCATCATCGCCTGCTTTTGTCATCTTGAGACATTGATAACGAATATTAAACAAGGATGACTGTTCAGCAAAGATTTGCGACAAAATTTCAATTGTTGCATCAAAAGAAAAATCTCTTGGATTCTTTGGAAGGATAAAGTTACTGTAACGTTCATGTTCAACAGTTCCAAGTTTTCGCAAGAGTATTCTGACCTTAGCGGCGTCATCAAGTTTTTTGAGGTCGACCTTGAACAAATCTTCATATTTCTTGAACCAAGTTTCAAAAGTAATGCCAGCTGAACCATCAAAATTAAATTCATGGATAGAATTAACAATCTGGTCAACATGAGATTTGAAGGGATCATCTGTAACTTCTTTTTGATCCAGGTTCATTTTCTGCGTTAGCATCTCTAACATGCGCATCTGGAACTTTTCTTGGCGTTCCAATAAGGCTTCAAATTGTTCCAAGGTAAGTGACATATTGATATAATAACCCGTCGCCAGATGTTATAACTTGAAAAAGCTGATTTCTCTTGATACAACCGCGTATAACTGAGCACTAGAACTTCAACCCCTTCCAAGTCGCAATAAGAAGACAGAAGACTAACGAAGGAATATTATTCCAAACAATGTCAAACATAGTACAAAAATTGTCAGGTATTTATAGTTTTTAGTGAGAACAAAATCATCATTACAGTCTTCCAATCCGCGTACAGGGGGTTATTAGCATTATCCAATGGGGAAGCTACACGTTGGAATTCTAGAACATTCTTCCGAAAGGTGATTGGATGGAACGTCTTCGGCTCCTTATGAGCCTCTTACAGCTTCCTCGAGTTCACCGGTGGTCCGTCGTCACAGAGATATATTACCGATTGCACTGGATGATGGACCTTGATTGCAGTTGGAAATATGGACCATTAGATCCCAACCCAGTGATATTCTAATACAGTTTTCAATAGTATACAGCAAAAACGTTGGTGTGCACTATTATTTGGTAAAAATCCTAGTACTGAATGTATGTTTATTTTTCGCCAGATTTGTAGGGTTCTTCAGGGGTTTTTTTGTCAGTCCGTAATGTGATGAATAGCGAATTCACATTTAAAAATATTTCTTAACAAATTTAATTTATTGATGTAGAAAGTTTACTTAATCTGAGCAAACTAGGACGTGTCATCAGTCCATGAAGACACTGACTACTAGACTGGTCCATGTAGGTAGGCATAAACTATCTGGCTGTGGTCCGCGAGATCATCGCAACCGATTCCCAGAGAATTCCACGTCGTGCATTATTTGCCGACTCTGGGACTGGTTGGAAGAAGCGGAGAGGTGGTCAGTGCATGACATGGTGTCGTGGCATGAAAGAAAGCTGCAAAGGACTGGCTTGTGTTGGTCCTTCACGACTCCCTGGCTGGGGTCCGAGAGATGGTGCTACACAGTGGCTAGAGACGTTATCAGATATGGCTCAGAATAGAAGCCAGTGGCGATCCTGCTGTAACCTTCTTTTACTTTCTTCATAAAAAGTGGTTGTGTCTCCTTTACCTGAAAGATTTCTTCTGATTGTACCTCTTCGTCATTACTCTCTTTTTCTTTTGCGTTCCTTAGTTTTTTTTTTTTCTCTTCGAATTCCCATTGTTTTGTGTGGCGCATATATATTGGCGCTCTCTTGTACCAATATTTATGTGTTCAAATAAATAAATAAATAAATAAATAAATCGCAACCGATGCTTCGAGACTTTGAATGAAATAGCTCAAAATAGTTCACAGTGGGGTAGCCTCATTCACTCATTGTCTTCCCTTAGACCCTAAGTTTCATAATTCCTAACAAAATTTGTTACTATTATTTCACTTATTTATATTTTGTCAAACAGTATCGGTGATACTTAATCTTTTTTATTACCACTTATACTGTTACTACCTCTATTATTCTGGGATTTGTCCTGACAATTTCATCTCATTGTGCCAATGGATTATTGCAAATTAAACCAATGTATACATATACCATGCTGTAAATTGTGTTGGACTTCCTAAACCTAAAAATGCCGTCCGTCGAAATACATTGTTTTAGCAGTTGTGTGTCCCTATTATGACTCTAGTTTATGGCTTTAAAAGATGATTTCTCGAACACTGTGTTACCTTTGTTATTACTAAAGTAGATGATACAAACACTGATGTGGATTAATATTATTGTCACTTTTCATATAATTTATTCTGAATAACAACAAGTGTTATAATATTTGACTCAGGTGACTATGTTGTACAGGAAGACTTAGTATCAGATGATTATGACCCTACTGTATGTTGTCGTCTTACACCTTTTAATAGCTGATAAATCACTTACCATGTCCATATATGCATGACAAAATATTTTTGAAGTGTTTATTCATTAGATAGATTATAGGTAGTCTTTGTAGTGATAATAGTTAATTATATTCTATTCACAAAACCATTGATGTTTGTTTTTAGTTAGAAAGTTTTCAAACCTTTAACTATTAAGCTGCAGGTTTACCTATTGATGTGTGCTAATTTAATAAAGATTTATAAATTATGCAAGATTTTTATCTAATCTCTCATTTATTAACTACATAGTTCAGTTAACAAATGTTGACTAGTTGATGAAACACGTATGAAAATAATGTAATATTTTGGACTCTTTATTTTTGGAAATAATGGTGACTTCTTAAAATGTTAATTACATACTCGATCTACTGACAGAATAATCCTAATCTATTTTCAGATAAGTCCAATTAAGACTGTTGTGTCAAAGAAAAAATCCTAGTGTTTTATGTTTCAGATCACGACTAAGTTTCACCTCCGTTGATTGTGAGAAATCTGTGTTCGTAAGAAGCAACCTGTACAGCCAAGGACTAACTCACCAGAGTATTATACAGAATGGCGCAATTCCGAATCCACTAAAGTTCACCGATTTCTCAGACTTAATTGCTTTTGTTTACTATAATTCTATGTTCCCGTTTAGCTTACAATTCACTCGTAATTTTTACAAACCAAGTGTTTTTTTTCATGTTTCTTCAACCTTTTAACAAGGATGATTATTCTGTATATTTTCTCTTTAATAAATTCAAGGGTCAAACAGCTTCGGAAACTGAATACTTTGATCGGATTAATAGCGATTTGGGGAGTGATGCTGATTCTTCATCTTGTCCAGATGAAGTAGAGTCCCCATCTCAACCTCGTGAAAATGAACTACGAAACTGGCAACACTCAAATTCCGTGCTAGATGTGAATCCAGACGCAGCTGAGAAATTTCACACAGTTAATAAAAAACAAGTATCAGGCCGATCTGATTATCATTCTTGCATTGGTGAGCATTATTGTCCAGAATGTTCTTCACATCTTAATGTTTTTCTATCACCAACCACTGATTCGGGACAAATGAATAGTTTCGACGATCTCAAAAGTGTCATGAATAATCAAAAGCCTACTGAATCTCATGAATTGTATGAATCACTACAATCTGTAAATGCCAATGGGAAAAAAGAATCTTTATCGAATGTTTATGAAGAAATTCTACATTCAACAGACTTTGAAGTAAAGGAAAAACTGCTAGATAACCAAATGACCAAGAAAAATCTTAGTAATATTCAAATTAATTCTCATTTAGTAGGTGTTATATTTTGTGCATTATTTCTATTATAATATAATCCAATGAGTTGTTAGATTAGTTAAAACTTAAGTTAATGGGATTTATGGCATATTTTATACCAAAGTTTATTCAAGATTACCTATGATATATATAAGCATTTGTGCTTTAAACATGTTACTTTCCATGTTTTCGAAGTATATTTTTGTCTTGAATTCGTTATTTAGATCACAATTTACGAATTCTGGTTTGTTAGAGATACGAAAATAATTTAGCTGTCAGGTACATTGTAATTCAACATCTTGTAAACTGACAATTATCTAAAGGACTATGAAATCTCGTGCACATTGATTAAAGTAATTAAAGTAGACTAAAAATTCTCATCCATTATTTTTAAATTATAGGTCTAAGTTGATGAAGTATAGTCACAAAAAATCATGATCTCATAAGTTTGTTTTCTGCTATCCAGTATTTATGTTTTAACTACAGTATCTTAATACTTTGAAGGGGGGTATCTCATCCATATTTAAACCACTAGACATACCTTTTCACATTTTAGAACCTCGTATCTGAATGATTTATACGGAATATAATTCACTTATTGTTGAGAAATGAAAGAGTTTGTCAATGAGAAATATTCACAATAATCGTTTTTCCAAGAAAACAGACCACGATGTAGCAACAAAAACTCAATCAGTTAACCATATTCAGGTTGGAAATTAGCACGTTTCAATTATCTGCAATAAATTAGTACATTCTATACTTTATTGCCTAATATTACATTGACGTTATAGTGATTTACTATCTTATCACAATCAAATTGTATTCGTAAAAATTTCTTGTAACTGTAGTTTCATTTTGATTTTAATAATTATTCAACTATTTTCAATTTAGTGGCAGTATATATAAATATTCTTGCCCTATAATTTTTGTTATTTGTTTGAAACTACTCGTTACTTTACGTTCATATTTATAGAAAAGAGATTCAAATGGTCATGAGAATTCATTACCTTCAAAAGTTGATACTGGTATGTTTTTTTTCTTAACTATTTGCAACTTAGTATACTTATATTCATTTATTTCTTGATATTCTAGCACATCTAATTAATAAGCGAAATATACTTGTAGTTTGATGGTTGGACGTCTATATACTCATGGTATTCCGTTGTCATACCATTATTTTGGTAAGATTGTATGAAACAATCTTTCAAAAGTACTTTCGAAACGTAGTTTCTGTGAGGTTTTTTTCTGGTGTACCAAATGGCTTATTGGTATCTTTATGAATAATTTGTTTCCATTTGGATACATTTGGGTGGAGACTTGGTGACTTATTTCAGTAACAGGATTTTTTTTAAATTTAAGCAACTTATTAGTCACACTGCTGGGACCATCGAGTAAGTAATGCAGTTGTTAGGAAACGGGTACTAGGTAAGGATGGCAAACCAATTGATGACGTAGTGAAACTTCATCAGTTGAGATGGTTGGGACACGTGTTACGTATGCCCAACGACCGACTGCCTCTACGTGCGATGTTCGGTCGTATAGGAGTAGGTTGGAAGAAAGCTAGGGGCCACCAGACCAAAACATGGCTCAAGTCCATGAAGTCACTGACAAGTGGTCTGAGTCATGTCGGTAGGTGTAGACTACCTGGTTGGGGACCGCGAGATGACAGCAACCGATGGTTAGAGACCCTGAATGACATGGCTCAAAATCGTTTGCAATAGAGCAGGTGCATTCACTCTTTGTGTTCTCCCGAATTTTGATCTCCTTATTCCTCCTTGTCTCTTTTTTTTCTCTTCCCAAATTTATTTCAGTGTATTATACTCTAAGTAACATCTCCAAACACTAATCTTCCCGATTAATGCTTATACTCTTACCACCTCTACCACTACGGGATTTGAGTTGACCACTGCATCTCTGTGCTAATTTGGTGTGGCAACTCGAACTGATGTACGTACGTACGAAGTTCTACGTTGTTACTGACTGACTGACTGAGTCACACAGAGTTTCATGTTCCCACAGTTTGAACTTACCCCGTTACGTAGATAAAAAATTTCCGCACCTGCGACTCACTTTAGTTGTTTTTAACGACCAAACTTTCTATGCTGTTTGTATATGACAGATTGTTGTATGTGTACTACATAAAGAAATCTCTTGTTACACTTATTCTAAGTTTTGTGACATAATTGTAATCGAAAGTTCTCTTATATCATTTATGCGAATACTCGTCAATATTAGAAAGAATAGTTCGACAAAAATTGGGTGTCCATTATAGAAAAGTCAATATACGTGAAAAACATCTTTGAAATGATTTCAGCGATTGAAATTTAAATAATTCCAACGTTTCGTCCAGCAAACTTGATTATCACTATGAAGAAGTCCAGACATTTCTTATATCAGTCTGATCTATGGGATTGAAACTTTATAAGTAATCTCAAGACTGATTTTTGCGTTGATGAATACATATAGTTAATCATCATCATATTTAGACATCTATAGCTTTCTTCTAATATTTATGAAATTGTTAAAACCAATAGTTAATGTAATGTATATTCATCAAGGTGTACCATATTTTATCTTTCATTATCAGACTTCTTAGGTTAACTTCTTTACTTTTTGTCACGTTGATTTTCTCACATTTTGTTGATAAGGAATGTTGAAACTTATTAATTCTTCATACTTTCATTTTCATTAGTTCGGTGTTATATGTGGGCCGGACAGAAACTGTCGAAATTCAATTTATCCATGTTAGATATTGGGAAGAATGTGATATATGTGAGTATATTTTGATGAATATTAACAAATATTTTTATTGACATTTTTTATATAATAATTCTTTTTATCATCGTATCACAATGTATTAAAAGATGTCCATACTTCTATACTTGGTTTTTGAGGTTTTACAATCCAGTTATATTGGCGATACTAATTTACAGACGAACCAGTCAGATCTAGGATAACAGGTCTCGGATCTCGACGCGAAATTAATTCACTCATTTGTCTAAATGGCGTTTTATCATTTCAGCTGATGTCAATTCGTGATAAAAATTATAAATTTAATTCCTAACCATAACCATCAATTGTAAATCTTAATCCTGATTCTTCATACTGCTTTATAACCTTCATTAAGCTCTAATAAGTAAATGGATATTCTCAGGGTCACTTTAGCGTTGCTGAAAGGTCATCCATAAATTATAGTCTCATGGTTATATTAACCAGCTACTTGAATTAAAGTAGTTGATTTGAAGTTAAAACATGCGGTCTAAGGAAGCTGAATCAAAATTAATCCTCCGTAAACTAAGTGATAAATCGTTCATTGTCATTTTCTGTTAAATGATGAGACGGCTCTCTTTGATTTCTTTTTTTTTCTGTGTGAGGGTTTGTTGTGACTTGAACTTGGATCGATTTTTACCCCGTGCCAATTGTTGTGTCCTTGACTGAAAGATTAGAGAGCAGTGTATTATCGATCAGATCAATGACACGTAAAACCTAGAGGCCCGATTGGCCCTGCTTCGCCGTCTAGCCCAGCCAGTTGAGTCCGGAACACAAGTCTCAGCCTCTGAGTTATGAATCATTGTATTTCAAGCATACTCTGTTTATATACCAATCAACCCGACCACAACGTGCCAATAAAATAGAAAATAACATTTGTACAATAATTAGCCAGAAGTTGCTGTGAACGAGGGAGGTAGCGATTAACAGATAGGGAATAATTCATGAATGGTAAATCGTCCAATAGTAGTTCATAGGTCAACATAAAGCTCATAATAAGAGGGGTATGAATATGGACAGTTTAGTTACATAACAATTATACGATAAAATATACTCATAATATTGTTCCATAATTGGATCCCAAAAATTACCATTCATTATTCTTATCGGGACACAACAGGGTTCTTTTCCGGTTTTTCCTTTTAGTTTTTCTAAACCTTTTCAGAAAGTTCATTGGAATTATGGACAGTTGGGTGTTGTTTGTTTAATCCAATCACTTTCAAAAATATATTAACATTAGTATAGACTGAGACATACACCTGGAATTTTCTAAAGTAGTAGTGGTACTTAACAGATGATAATTGAAATGAGCTCACAACACTAAGTTCAATTAGATTTGTTTTATGAATATTCCAAATATTATATGTCTGTCTTACTTTAACGAGTCATATGAATTAAAATCACCACATACAATTGAAAGTGAACCATTAAAGGCAGTAACAGCAAATTCAGTGAATTCATCAGCGAAAATGGATTGTGCAGTCCGGAGTGCGTAGATGTTGGTCATTCAAAAACTTAAAACATGCGAAAGTAGATTGACACTAGTTCACGGTTGTAGTGGCTTAGCTTCGTTAATCAATCACCTTGATAACCGTTAACATGTAAATCCCCGACGGCGTTTGGATTCAGAAGGAAATAAAAAACGGCGGCTACAATTTATTAGCGGATAGCACGGATAACAAATCTGCAAGTACATCGAGCGAGTTTGAAGCAGAGGGGCAAATGTGTGTATGCGAGCAAATACAGAGGCGATTTTATGGTCAAACTGCATAAGGGCACAGCAAGGCAACGCAAAGGCTATTAATGATATTAGAGCACATATATACATTGTAAGGAGAACGACTCATTGGGCGATATTTAAGTTATTAGCATTTTAGCTAGAGAGAGATATGCCTAGGCTGTTACATATGATCAAGCATACACGTTTATACAGACGTGATAGTGATCATAATAATGCAAAGTAATCGACGAATTGTTACTGTTCGAATAACACTGTCTGTTAAATAAGTTAGTAAAATGGCTTGACAAAAGTTAACCATAATCGAAACTGATTGTAGGAGAGTTGCTATACGTTTACAAATGTAGCTACACCGCCACCACACATTTTCTTATTTCTTGGTCGATCCTGACAATAAATATTCAAATCTTGTAATGATACTAAGCGATCGTCTTGTAAATCATTTAGCCAGGATTCTTGAGTTGTGATTGCACTACAGTTATGATACATGTTTTGACTTAGTAGGAATTAAAGATAGTCCACCCTGCCAATCTGTGATTGGCAGTTAGGATCTAAAAGTTCAGGAATGGACATCTGATTAATGTTTATTTATTCAAGGGATTTTTCCAGCCATCACGGTGTATGTGATTGTACTTTTTTGTACCTTGTAAAGCGATAGGACGTAAACGTTTCATAAATGCATCTGAATAGGTTGAGTGGTTAATAGACACAACATTGTTAAAACAAACAAAAAAGTATTTTGCTGAAATAGCTAGATGGTAGAAACAAGTAGCCTAGATATTCAAGCAGGCCGCTGCTTAAGTATGTTTGTCAAGTCCTTTGTGCAGATCAGGTTTTATCGATCAAATTGCAGTGTGGTAATTAGTCCAGGTGTCTTGACATCATTTGCATTACGTTTAAATGTGAGGTGGTGGTCATCGACAGCGTTTCCTGTCGATCATCTCCAAACACCACCTTAGATATACTCGTTTTTGTAAGACGCTCTCGATATACTATAAAACAATGCTTTGAAAAATGTTTAAATTTTATGAGTGGACCTGATTATTTTTGAAACCAGTCGTCTGAAGTTAATAGTTAGAAAGATTAATGTTATTAACGATTCAGAGATTGCATTGAAAGTATAATCTCAATAGGGCTTGATTAAAAACTAAGCAACCAAACGCATCTTCAGTGCATGTCATTATGGATAGGCAATAGCGCTAATTTGGCATTTTAGATTCTTTGCTTGAAAATTTTAAGAACCTTGAGTTAAATTTCAATTTTATTTAATTAGTGTTATTGTAATGATTATTATTAATACCATTATTTTACTTTGTTGTATAAATTCCAGGCTGTTGAAAGACAAAGTATTTCATCAGATTACATTATATTCGCTTGTGTTGCAACATTTGCACTACCACTCATATCTGTTATATTTCATTCAACTAATTCATCAAATATACTGGATAATAATAATCATAATAACAGCAATGATAATAGTAATCAATATCAATCATTATTTATAACAACAAAAGGTACACTGTTATTTTTTGGCAATAATTCAATGAATCGAACATTCAATACTAACAATGCTGTTTTTGGAGACACCGTTATTGGGTTATATTTACATGCTATATTAAGTTTATTTGGTCATTTATTTTCCACCGTCGCTGTAAAAATTCATAATACATTGATTGATACGAATTTACAAACTTCTTGTTGTTCGCAACCTTATTGTATCGTATTTTGGAATATTGTGACTGGTCAATTTTTAATGGATTGGTTTTCAAAACCAGATGTACAGTAAGCTATTTTCATTGTTATTTTATTGTAATAATCTGATGGAATGATCTACTTCTGGCCTGAATTCTTACCCATTGTCAGAACAGAAAGTTAGATGAATGGGTACATAAAACACTTTGATACTTCATATCATTCATGATGGACTGGTTGCCTGTGAAAATTTGAAACGTATACGGAGAGCCTTATTGACGTTCGCCTATCGACGCTATCTGGGGGCACATGGTGTTTCCCTAAGTGTTTGTAAGAAAGAATAAACTATGTAGCTCTCTTTACTTTGTTGTTTTTCGGCTGTAAGGCATAACTTAATGTACTTTCAGTTTAAGTTGGGCAAAAACCGCAGATCAATATCTGGCACTTGTCCGTGTACTCATCAACTATTGTTTAATGCAGTGAGGTATAAATTACCTAGAAGAACTTGTCGCACAAAGGTAGAAACTAGTGATTGAACACCATCGATTAACTAGCTTAGATTCAATCTTTTGACTCAAAGGATTCATTTATTTTTCTAGAAACGAAAAAATTTATTACTCTTCTTTTACTTTACGTTCTTGCTTGCTGTACAGTACATACCTATTCAGTTTTGTATTACTGCAAAAACTCCGGTATTGTCATCTCGTCTATTGATCCAAGTTGAATTTTAACTAAAAAATGTTTTATAAGTTTGCTACACACTTTTACTGGAGTGTGCGGAGTATTCGTCTTTTTTTCACTGCTCATTAATCAGACCAAGGAAGTTAGGGAAATCAGAGATTTATGGAGCTACAAATGTATTATTTCTTTTAGTGTTATCTATTAATCATTTTGTGTGGAACACATGGAAAGTAGTTTTAGGCTAATGCGCACTGCTGAGGAGTCCCACAATAGGACGAAATGGCCGTCCAGTGCTTCCAGGTTTTTCATGGTGGTCTAGCTTCAATTGACTCATGATCTCAACTGTTGAAATTACTACAATCTCCACAAAACCCCTTCTGATACTAATGTTTATATATATATACTAACAGATTGTAGTAACTGCTTATTGTCTATCATCTGATATTTTATCTATACTTTTCGCTAAAATTATTTGATCGTCTATGTTTAAATGAGATTTACACGTTGTCTAATAATTCTTTCTAATTTCATTGTAATTTAAGTTTAGAGGTTGTAGATTGATAAGGTTGTTTTACATATTTGATATTCTTTCATCACTGAAATACCATTTTTTTCAATATTAAGGTATCCATAATAATTGTCAACTGACCTTGATCTTATTACTTCCTTTTTGTGTCTAGAGGGCGTTTGGTTATTTTGATTGGATGTATATTACGCTTCAATGTTTATGGCACTGTATTCTTTCTTCTATGTATTGCTGAGCGTACATTTCAAGAGGTAAATCATCTATTACTTTTTTAATGTTAATTTTACTTGTACACAAACTAAATAAATACTGTAATGAACCGATTTTTATTCTTCTCTTATCATTATTTAGCGTTTGCTTTACGCCAAATATTTCTTTTCTTTAACATCCGGCCGTCGTGCTTTAAAATATCGTGTACCGCAATTTCGTTTAAATAAAGTTGGTCATATAAAATGCTGGTTAATGCTTCGGTCGTATCTGAAAAAACGTGGTCCACAACGCTCAGTTGAGCATATTATGACGATCGCATTTTATATCGTTTTTACCCTTGGTCTTAGTTTATGCGCTCAAGTTAGTAAACTTTTATTATTTTTTCCTATCATTTATTATGCAACTTAACCCATCCATATTAATGTTCTCGTGTGTTCTGTTCGTTTTTAAATTGAACTTGTCAGTCAGTTGGCAACAACGTAGAACTTCGTACGTACGTACATCAGTTCAAATTGAACTTGAATGATTATGGAATGTAATTATAATTATTCTTCACTAATAAATTAAGTGACATTATTCATGATATAAAAGTTTACCTTTGTAAACCATTTTATTTGTTCATACAAACCAGTACGCATGTGGAGTGCACGAAATGAAATGAATTCACTTCATTCTACAATATTTGTTCTTGCATCACTCAAGTTTGTCACGAAAATTGACCACATGAAATTGTTTATTTTAATCAATGTAACCAAATATTTACAGGAAAAATCAACACAAATTAGAAATTTATTACGGTTAACCAATAAAGAATCTATTATAATTGAAAACTGCTTATTACCGATCATTGAGTTCAATCACTGTTTCAAACACTTAGATCTGAGCAACCAAATTTCTGATCAAATGATTATAGTTTAGATGTCTATTTTGAGTATTTTTAGAAATAAAAACCATTATAATCGAATACCAGTATTTTTACTCGAAATACAGTAGTAAGGAGGAGGAAGATTTTTCGGATCATTGTGCAACTTAACAATGTTTCATCAGGAAGTCTAATAGTTGTTTGTTTTCGGAATTCTGATATCCAATTATAAATTACTCTTATTTATCTATTTATATTCTGTTTTCTTCTTTATAGCTTCTTTCAAAAAGCCGTATGAGTGTTTTCACTCATTTAACTAATTGGGATATTCTGGGTCTTTCTTTTGGGATTATTGTATTTCTCTATCGATACATTTTACTTGGTACAAAAATTACAAAGAAATACCGTAACTTCTCAGTACTTATCACTGAACAAGTAAGTTCATCATTCAATTTTTATGCATAGTTTTTTTTCTACATTTAGTTATTCTATTCCAATTATTTTTGTGTGTGTAATTTTCTTTAAACTTTTATAACAATACTTTTTTTAACTCTCCAGACGAACAAAGTAACGTAGAGTATTTTCACAAAACGTTGTACAATTCATGACATTTTAGAAACATCCACATTGTAATCTTTCTAAGTTATGTTCTGCAGGTATACGAGAGTGTGTAGTCTGTTAGATAAAAAAAACAAATATATTATATCTTACCGTTTTTGGTAATTGTTTCCTGAATTATTCAGTTGCTAGTGGACATTTTTGTGTATTCGTGAAATATTTGATATTCATAAATATCACGTAAAATAGATACATTTAGAAATTTGGGATCATGCTATGTTGTAATCTAAGAAAATAAACGGAATGATGAATAATTTATATCGTTTCGAAATCTGTTCCATTCGTTATTGTAAAGGGACTTTAAAAAACATATGGTATGATAGAAGTCAAATTAAAGGTTGTAAAAGAATCAATTATAGAATTTTCTATTGGTTGTGAATTCTATTTGCTTTCAATAACAACTATTATTTGATTGTCGAAATTAACATAGACAAAGAGATTTTTTTGTGACTTTTGTTACCTCTACTATGCAACAGACAGTTGTGAGTAATCTCTCTTGTCTTACGTTGTAATTATCGTTTGCATGGAGTTGAAAAATACCAGTTTTTCAATATCAAGAATACTGGTGTACTACTGTTTGCTTTACAGTGTAGTTCAGTAAACTTGCTTGTCATATTTCTGTTAGGTTATAAGAAGACAAAGTTTAGCAAATTTCACTTTTTTTATATGAAAGACTAAACAAACAGATAAATAGAAATGATGAACAACAATATTTTCAGTATGGGGCTGGGGAAATTTCTTGAATTCCATTAAAATCACAAACCGATCAGTATTAAATCACGATCGAAAACCTGTAGGCACTAGAATTCCATTTCGTCCTGATGTGGTACTTCTCATTAGAGCGCATCCATGATGCTACACACGGGACTCGGACCCGGCATTTTCGGTCTCGCACACCAACACCTGACCACTAGATAACGGTTTTAATTTCAATCAAACCACTATAATTGTAAAGGTATCAACGTGAATGAAAGAAGTAATCACAAATAGACTGGTAAGTAATATATGTGCATGATAATATGGTCGATTTTGAGCCATAACAAGTAAGGTCTGCAAATATCTTATGGATGCAACATAATTTTGTTTATTCTTTTATTGATTAGAATAACAGTGAGTTTATCCACTAGTGTCATATCACTTAGGACCTGAATGCTAAATATGCGTAAAATATTCTTGTCACCTCCAATAACATCGGTGTACAATTTTGTTAAATCCCGAATTTTTGAAATGAGAATTTAGTTCAGCAGGAAATACTGGTTAAAATCATCACACATTCACATCTTCTACTTTTCATCTATGTTATGTGTCCCTTTCTCAATGTTTAAAATATGAAGCATTAAAATTATGAAGCATTTTTAGATATTTTCCCATTCATTTAGTTAATGAGTTCTACATGTAACAGTATAATTTTCACTCAGGATTTCATTGAAAACTCTAACTTCGACTTTATTTACTTTTTCCATCCGACGAGTTCAAATGTACAACAGTGATTGTTCATAAAAAACGTATGTATGTAATGAACGATAAGTCAGGTGGGGCAACCAATGTATTGTTTAATACAATATTACAGAATTTCTTGGTAAAATATGAAAACCATATATTAAATACTTTATTTGCGAATTTTTATCATTTGTCCTTAACATTCTGTATGATTCTTCCAATTTACAATTCCTTTCTATTGTCTTCAAATCGATTTTCTTAACCTTCTGCTGCCAGGTTTTCCACTACCGATTAGTTTTACATACTACCTAATATCTGTTGACATAAGTAGCATGCACCACATGTAGATAGCTTTAGATGATTAAGATGTTGTCTCCAGTGAAAATTACACTTTTATATACAACACTGACATATTGAGTAAACGGAAAAAAATTGCTGGAGATAGCAATCTTATTGAACACTTAAAAAAGAGTAGATAACTTCGCATATTTTTGGAACAATATGAGTTGTTTGTTGACATCGTATGGTAAAAACTCAATGGTAGTTGTTTTTGTTATTATATTGTTATTGAATTTTACTAATTTAGAAATGTAATAAAATACAATTCAGAGATCAAAGACACGTATTGTAAAACCATTCGAGCTATTGTTAATTTGCTACTCCAACTCGAGTGTAACCCATGTTAAGTGCACGATTTTACTGACATCTAATTGAATAAATCAGTAAATCATCAAACTAAGATACTTGATAAAGTTGTCATTTCATCTAGTCTTACATTTTACTTATTAATGATATTCTTTTTCATTGTCACTGATAACTATTACTATTTATTTTTTTGTTATTATGTTTTAGATTAATTTATATTTAAGTATGGAGAGTAAACCACATAAAAAAGAAGATTTAATGCTAACATTTCAAGTTCTACGTTTAGTTGAAGGTCTACTAAAAGAAGTTGATGGTCCATTTCGTGTTTGTGGTTGGACATTGAATCCATTAGTGTATAATATATTTAAATTAGTTTTACTTTCTTGTGTATCTACTTTACTATCTGAGTCATTGGGCTTTAAATTAAAATTATACAAATTAAAATTAAATCCATCTAATTGGTAGAACGATTAGATGAAAACATTGACGAAAAAAACTAATGAAAGAAAAAAAACAAACGTAGAGCCATAAACAAGAAAAGTAACATAACTATTTATCCAATAACTATTCCTTTATCTAGTTTTTTTTTCCAATTTTTGTTGTAATTAATTTAGAAAAAAATAGTCACCTCACTTATTGTTCACATTATGTTAGTCTCAATCACAGTAAATTGTCAATTTCACTTTCATTCAAATAGAAATTCATATAAACTATTGTGTTTGTGTTTATTTATTTATTCTCATACAAAAAAAAAGTAAGAATCATTAAGAAAATATGTACTATTCAATTTCTTGTTAAATGATTTAATTAATTTGTTACTAAATCAATATAATTTATCAGTATCAATGTAATCATATAAACAAATACCAATTTTGATTTCTTTGTCCTACAAAATGACAAATAAAACTGTGAATTCGTTTATTTTCATTGTAGTGCTAATTCTACTTTTTATTTATTATAATAGTAGTATACATGAACTCTTTGTGGTTTGTTGATCGAATCAATGCAAGCCTAAAATTATACGCATTTGTTGTTACCACTGTATTACAACTAAGGTTATTTATTCATTAGAAAGTTTTTTTGGCTATTATTGTTCCAGTGTGTGTATGTATGTGCATTTCATGGTCGGAACTAAAAGTCAATATATTACACGATATATATATATATATATATATATCATATTGTAAGCTTCATAAAAATAAACTTGAGAAGAAAATCTTTGTTGCTATCTTCCCTCATATTTTGTATCATTGAATAAAAAAAATAATAACTATGGATTTGCCTTAATGATTCCCTTTATTTTCTGTAACTATGTGTTCATAGTGTAGAAAAATGTAATAGATTCATGTTAATTGTGTAATTTTTTTTCTCAGCCTTAACTGTTATGATTTATTGTGCATATACTGGAAATAAAAGATCATTGTTTTAAATTGTGAATTATTTTATTCAAAGTATTTTGTAGAATTTGTTTTTCTAATCGTTTTTTAAAAATAAATTGAATACATTCTGATTTGAGTAGTGCTATACGTAAACGATGAAATTAAAGCTATGCAAAACGTCAATGAGCATCCTGTATATGTGCTACTATTCAGTGAAATGTGGTGCTGCAAATTTTTTAAAAAATCTTATATTCAATTTAACAGATTATTAAATGAGTGTATATTGTCGTTTCTCTTGTTCGTTACTTTTTTTTGTAAACTATCCTATTTCTTGTCTTTGTTTTTGTAACCAAGTCATAATTCATTAAAAATACTGTCATTATCAATGTTAGTATCATTATTGAGCTATATTATTTTTAAATGCCAGTAGCTTTTATTATGTATAAAACTTGCAGTATTAAAAAAAGCATAACAACCAAGATTTACATTATATATTACAATAGTGCATATATTACTGTTTCGTTCCATTTTTAATAGTTCATTTTGTTTGCATAACAAAGTATTACATCTCAATTTCAATAGTATTGATGATCATGATAATTTTCTCTTCTTTCTTCATTATTTTCTTTGTTGTTTCATTTCGGTTGTGTGTATTTTGAATAATATATGGTTTGCAAGTTATTCCATTAATTTTTCTGTTAATGAACAATAAACTAACGCTTTGGTACACATAATTAAATGATATAAAAATAATAAGACGATTAACTGTCTCGGAAATATGGAAGGTTTTTGATTTTAGACAGAATTATGTGAGAAAAGTACGATTTATATGTTGTATTGTATCCGTCCGATTTCGTTTACCTAAGTATACAAGAGGTTTTTGGGTACAGTAAGAGGCGTACTTCCATGTGTTGTAATTTCCATTCTTCATCAATGTTACGTCAACTCACTTGTTACAAGAATAATGAATATTTGTCACACTAATTTCAACATTTGCAAAACCATGTTCGTAACAATACATTAAGATAAAAAGTAGATCACCTGAATTTAAGTTCTTAGACGACCAATTTCTTTAATAATTCAAGTAGAAATCGCAATACAATATTCGTATTTGTGTAGTGTTTTATCTTCGAGTCAACATTCTAGTTAATATAATTTCCCATAATTTATATTCGATCAGAATGGACAAATAGTGTGGTTTTTAGAGCACAGAATTTCCACCTATACTTTGGCATGATAGATTATGACTATTTCATAGATTAGGCTTTATAGTTTATTATTTAGATCAAGTGACAAAATATGTTACTACTCTGAGGGGTATGAATATACAAGACGTTTGTGACTAGTTATCACTTATATATATCCGAAAAGGCACTTTATGGTGAACTTATAGGATTAGTAATAGTATGTACCCATCAATACTCACGTTACACTGTGTTGAAAGCCATTGTCAATGAATTTATAGTTATAGTTACATATCATTTAGCCATGGCTAAACTATTTAGTTGAAATTATCATTTGTGATCTAGCAGTTTTGATCTTTGTAATTTAATGTTAGAATTTATATATTTTATTTACCATAAATGTGGTTTGTTGACTTCTATACAGTATGTGATTTATATTAAATTAACTACTTATGTACAGTTCTGTTCTTTATTATAACGATGCTGTATCATTTAGAATAACTTAAATATCAAGAAAGAATATCCTCAAATTAGTTCACCAATAAATTTTATTCATTAAAATTTAATAAATGTTAAACTACAATTAAAATTTATAATTTCATCAATCAAAAGTTATAAAACATACTCAATATGCAACAAATAAAATGAAAATGCAATAATAATGGCCCCAGTGCTGTTTTTTTTTTAATATTTAAAATGTAATAAAAAAGTTTTTTAATTGTCATAGGTAAGAAAAAGGGCGCTGTTAAGAACTTTTTGTTGTTGGTGGTGGTGGTAAATTTAAATATTATGTAAAATGACAATAGGGATGTTGCGTTATAGTAACTAATTAAAAATAATTATCAGTATTAATTATGGATAAGTGTTTCATTTTTTCTAAAGAATTCAATGTAATATAATAAAGAAAAGATATAACTATTGACATAAAAGATATTTATTATAGAGTGCATCAACGATCATATACAACAGGTTTTTTTTAATAATTAGACCTATTTAGACTTTAATAGTAACTTATTAATATATAAGACTATTTAGACCTCGAGAAGCGTAAACTCCAGTGAATACTCCAAGAATTAAAAAGAATGCGGCAAACATTCCAGCTAATGGAGCTCGATCAGGTGAACAACATCTGAAAAGTAAAACAAGTTGGGTTTTTTTTTTATTATTTGAGTATGGTATAAAATCGATTCAGTATTGTACAAGCTAAGGCTTCAGTGGTAATAAAAGCCTAGAAATAATCACTACAGTTCTGCGAGGGTTAGGATTCAGGTGTAAGATTCATTTTTAAAGCTCCAACTGAACTGTTGTGTTGCCTCGCAAAGTACTAGAACCTTTGTTCGATGTGTTTATGTTTTTTTTCTATAATTCCCAGTATATCTTCTGGCATATTAATTAACACCAATGTGTTTCAGTCTTTCATGAGTTTCGGACAATTTGTGGAATATGAAGCAAGCCAATAGATTGGACGTATTCAAAGTAGGAATCCTCCGATCGTAGTTCATAAATTATGTAAACCATTTTTAGACATGAATAATGACCTTTCTAAACAACACTGGATAGAAGCTCGCGGATATTCTTAGAAAAAGAAGGGACTAGGTCATCTGGGCTTGTTGACTTGTGGTGCTTCATAATTTATTGTTCATTGAAGATCTCTTCGTTAGCAAGATCAGAAGACATCATCTAGGAGGGATGGGACAGTTCAATCAACGTTGCTGGAGCAACAGACTAGCTAAACTGTTCCTCGAAAAAATCAGCTCATCATTCAAGACGCGTTTGGATATTGATAATTGATATGCCGTCAACTCATAGATTGTTTCACTGGCAATAGACTTCTTAATTCCAGTCACTTAGATGAGTTGAAGCAGTACCTAAATATGTACTCTAAAAGGAGTTAAAGTCTTGTTCATATACATGCTAACGATAGCTGATCGCAGTGTGAGCCTTGTCTTGAGTTACAGAGGCAAGACTCTAAGTAACTCGGTCATGAATGCGAGGGAAGTTGGTGCAGCCCAGAAACTGTTTATAATGTTTACAAAGGTGTTGGAGACGATAACGTCGTTTGACCTTCGACCACTAAATCCCTATTGGCAAGAATCCCGATCTGAGATTTTAAACTCCCGGCTATCGCTATAACATCTATTGGACACTGAAAGGGGCGAGTTTACACCATACATATGACTTTAGAAAATCTATATACATGTTCTTATTCGATAGCAGCATTCACAAGATCGACGTGTCAGCGATTGGAGATCGTTTAGACAGCGCATAACTCTCAATAGACACGAGTTGCTGAGTTAGGGAATGAAAGCACACAAACGGGAACAAAACAAAATAGAAATTTAAAGTAGAGCAAAATAACTTCATTTGTAATAGGGTCCTTTGAGTACTGTTTTAGTAGGTAGCTAGGTGTATAGGACAGAGGTCTGTATTCATAATTATTGACATATTTGCGTGGGGGTCGGGATACTACCTGGTCGCCAAAACGAAAGGTGATTTCTGTAGAGTCACTCTTTTGATCTCTTACTTACAAAAAATACACCCTCGCCACTTGAAGGTAATGAATAACACTTCCATGGCGAGGTCTTAATCACATGACCTTATGAGACAGCTGAATCTCACAATCCCCCATCCCATCAGAGTACTGTGACCGTAATCGAATAATTTAATGAAGATTATTAGCACTGAAAAAGAGTCAAGATATTTAGCTTACCTTGGTGCATACATCAAACCGAGTGATGCAAGATGTCCATTGCTGAATGCAAATAAAATACAACCTAATACATATATATGATCATTTGTAATCAGAACAGATAGATGAGGATTTTCAATCCCGAAATTACAGGATAAAAAGAATGGAATGAAGATAATAGTACGTAACAATACAGGAATCCATAGATAACGCGGTCCTGGCTGTTTAAGACAAAGGAAATATTGAAAAAAGAAACTAAAATTTATTCAATTCATGGCTTTTTTCGAAAGTTCACATTGATGAAATTACATTTTGTGGCGTAATTGATAATTTTAATGATTTGACTTGAACTTCTGTGATGATGAAGAGGCATAACGTTATAATGACGATAATAATAACACCAATTTCAAATAAATAAACACACTGTCAAGTCAGCAATAAGGATGTTAGGGCTTGGTACAGATGTGTATCATATGTGCAACCGTATCACCACAGAGAGATAGTATGAACAAAGTGAATATTGACGTAGTAGTAGTAGTATTAACATTATCACTCATACTTAAAAACGAGAAATAGGGAATGTGATTCAATTCACAGAAACAAAGGTTATGAAATAGTTCTTAAACTCAGAATCTAAAGGAAACAGACAAAAATTGGATGAACGTGAACTAAAGAAATTTCCGTTTTTTACATTTAGGAAGGGATTTATGGAATAACAACGAGTTCTTGAAATTTTCGCAGTGCATAAGGTTTGAACAATCAGATCATTAATACTATTTGCAAAAGTATTTTATAGCACTCAAGATCTTTTTTATTTTCGAATAAAGTAGCTATCGTAATTGTGATTTAGTTTACAAGTCAATCCATATGATATTCATTGTTATATGATCCCAATATCTTTACCGTAGAACACTGCATTAATAATAACTTCAGTACAGTAAGTCCATGTGCATCACCCGCTCTAGTGGAGCAAGGTAGTTAGGCCGTATCCAGCACCTGCTTTCAACTCGGATACGAGAACATGGCGCAGTGTGGTCCTATAAGAGTGAGAGGAAAGCAGTTAATTCTATTCTTGAACATGGAGTCGAACCAATTACTCTACCGATCAACAGGTTAATTTTAAGGCTGTTTATACAATTCGTTCAAATCTACCTAGATTTATTCGTATCCAACTCCTTAAAACAGCAGAAGCCCTTGCCATTCATGAGTTGAAGCCAGAAGTGTTTGTGGAAAAGAAGTAAGTTTTATCGTTACCTTGGCCTTAAATTATTATTATTACTGTTGTTATTATTTCATCTCATGTTTGAAAATATCCCCCATCTTTTTACTTATGTCTCATATCCTCATGATTTTATTCATAATTGTTTCTGATATCATGTCATTTCCTTCTAACCTCTTTATCACCTTTTATTATTGTAACAAAAACAACTTAATCATCTTACTTCCTTGACGTTAAAGTCCGTGACCAACTTTATTAATTTTACAAGGCTTTCTATTTGCACACACACAATCTATTATTACTATTATTCATACCACGTGATCTAGTATTATAATCGTTCTGTTACATCATCATGTTAATTCCTTGTTCATATGTCCTCACGGAACTAATACATTAACAAAAAATTTAAAATATATATGATTGTACAGCTTGATAGCGAATTCGTTGAAAAGAGATCCCTTCGTTGAATGTTGTGTTTTTCATGTTTAAATGGGAATCATATGTAAATTATATATATAATTGGACTGTTCGAAATTCATTGCCTTAATCTGATAAAATTCGTAGTCTCATTGCATCATCCGACTTTATGATCTTTTGTGTCGTGGACACTAATTGTATTTAGAACTGAATAGGTTTAACGCAAGTTCTCTCATTTATCTCTAATTACTACTCTATGTTTTTTCTTGAAATGAATATAATTTTTGTCTGATAAGCTATTGATTCTCTTGGTCATTAATTATCATTGATCTGAAAAATTCCCCAAATTTTGTGTCAAAATTTTAACAAATTAATTATTTGTAAATGTTCCTTCAACAAATTGTGATTCTTTAAAAAAAAAACGTTTATAAATTAGGCTGCTGTGGGACACAGGCTTTCTTTATAGTGTCATATGGACTTTCTAAAGTGAAGTGTAGACTTTAATTTATGGTGTACACATATCAACATTGAATTTCTTATGAGAATAATGGGAAATAGCATCTTGTGATGTAATACTCTATAATCTACAATATATGAAATGACAGTGCATACGAATAAATTGGTTCTGCAAATTAAATAAGTTTTGTTTATAGTTTATCCAGTTGAAACAACTTCGATCAATTCTTCTGATAGCACCATTAACTCATGTAGAATAAAGCGAATGATCAAGTCATACTATTATTTGTTTTAAATACAAATAAGAAAATGTTTTTAAAGATGACAACGTTAAAATCAGAGTACCTTGAACCAGTTCATTAAAGAAAAAAAATTTTCAAAAGGTTAGGAAATGTTGAAAAATCACATTTTCTAAAATACTTAAGGAAATAATTTAAACAGAATGATGAATATCATATTGCTTAATCTCATATTTACTACATATATAAGTAACATAAATAAAAGGTGCTGAAAATAATATGGTAAAGTGAATTAACTTACAAATTGTATCCAGTTACATAGAATACATCCCAACATTGCAAATACATTGAAAAATAAGAAACAAGTCACATCAACAAACCAGAGAGCTAAAACAATATTGTAAAATGAAAGAAATCACTTCAATTAAATAATATGAAAAGTTAAATGTCTAACAAATATGAATAAACTAGAAATAATAATAATTATTATTACTATCTGTCTTTCTTATAAGTAATTTGCGCGAGACTCTAATTCATAGATTACTTTCGAACGAATTTTAAGTGACCTTGAGAATATTAGCCAATCAGCGGACAGTCAGTACAGAGTAAAAATATGTTATACAAAAGCAAGGAAATAAAGTGGATACACTTCGTATACGTGGTTCAAAAACTTGTCAAGCTTCGAAAGAGGTTCAGAGGTTCTAAAATCGTAATGCATGTAGTAGAGGAAATCATCCATACGGCTACAGAATAGTCGGCTTCTGGAGTTATGATAAAGTCTCAAAAACTCTTTCAGCCTCGACCACATGACTTCAATATTGTTTATGTGCACTCCGGTTGTTGAGTGCACAAAACGCTACTTGTGGATAACGACACGATGCACATAACCAAGCCTATGTAGGAGTCTGTAGGCTCTCCAAACATCCTTATATCTTGTAGTGCCTGGCTGCAGCCAGTGTTACTGGTACTTTTATTATCCAGTTCGCGATAATTGTCATAGTTTGCCTCAGTTAGGAATTATATATGGGGTTTTCATAACAAACTGTCATCAGCTATGATGCCAGAAATCTATTTAGACAAATGGATGGAAGACTTTCGTGCCCAAATCCGAGATCTGTTATCTTATACGTGATTGATTCGTCCACAAATTATAGTCTCGCCGTTTTATTTGTTATAGCCGCTCAATTATCATGTTTTGTACAAAATTCCTTGTGAACCCATTGTACGTTAGCATTAAGCACTGAAGTTGGCGCCGTAACATTGAAATCCTTCAAACGCCTCTGATTGGCTCATCCATAAATTAGAGTCTCTACGTAATTTGTTTATCTATATTCAAAAACACAATTATTAACGAGCTGGTAAATAAAGTTTAATTTAAATAACCGATTGTATCATTGAATAAAAATAAAGAGAATTCAGAAAGAAGCGTATGCATTGCTGAAGCATTGGTGATCCATTAATTCAAATACGAACTCTGTGTGCATAAATGATACATTTAACCTCTTATACTTCCTTGGCACTAATTCCCTAGTGAAGTATGTTTTGATCTTTTTTTTAATTATTATTTTTGTAATATTAAACCATAATCATCTATTATAGTTCTTAAATAATTTCGTGCATAAAACGATTGATGAGCAGTACTTAGGATTCGTAGACAATTTAGGACAATACAACTTTATGGTGCTCATTGGTTGTTTGTATTGGATTAGATCTTGGTTGATTGAAGGAAGTCAGAAAGGAGTTCTATTCGTTCTTACAGTTATATGAAAACGCGGATTGGACAATATTTCTAATAGATAAAATATATAAGATACAATTTCCCTTGTTGTATAGGGTAAGCTTATGAAAAAACACAAGTACGTAAAAACTTCCAAGTGAAACCCTTATAATATATTTATGTACATGCAACAAGATTGATTACATCGTACTACTATTAATAGATAAAAGTAGTCTAAAATTTAAGCCTTCATAATACAACTAAAACATTAGTTACATGTGTTATCAACGGGTTGTAATAACTGACGACTTACGTGGAATAAAATATTCTGGATTTACTGGTCTAACACGTGACTGAACTGCCGGAAATATGGATAGTGTACAAGAGAATACACACCAAATGTTTGCACACTGGCTCCAACATTCTTTCATAGTTAAACTATATTTTGACCAATAGTCTAAACAGCGTTGTTTACCACTAGGCTTTATATGATCAAAAATTAGAAAAAGAGGGGTTTGATATTTTGCTAGTTATAACAGTTAAGAAAAATTATAAAGTGCTAAAATATTTTGAAATGGAGATTTATATTCATGAACATTCATCTTTGTCTAATAAACAGTAAACATACACAATTTTTCCTACTACTATAAAAGATGAGAATACAGTTGTGCCAAAACACAACTTATCTCTACTAGACTAACAAGCGAATTCAGTGAAGTATTAGATACAAATGAGTTGAAGTATTTAGAAATTGAACAATTTCATTGAATTCATGAACCAATCTAAATTAGACCGTTGAAGACCTGGAGGCGTTGGATGACCGTTTCATCCTTGAATGTGGTTCTTAAGCAGTGCACGGTATTTCCCGGTTTTTAATCGTGGTCTGAGTTAGATAGATTCGTGATTTCAATGAAATTCAACAATCTCCACAACTCTATTTTGAAAACTGTGTAGTTGTTAGTGACGGTGAGAGATGAGACTGGTCTTTTTTGTGAAGGCTGGGTTGATATGAAATTTTGAATTTAATCTGAAGTCTAGAGCGTGTAAAATCTATTTTATAAAGTCTCGAACTGTTCGAAGGCGATGAATATTCAGATACTGTTGTTTTCGAAGAACTACTCACATGTGCAAGTTGTGCTAAGATCCTTCAATGAAGACTTGTTGAAAAATGAGAGTATCTTAAAATACTGATTGCTTTAGTTTATACACAGTTTCTTAGTGAAACCTTATGATGAAAAATATTATTGAAATTATATGTAGATAAAAAATAGGTCAAACACAATGGTGATTAATGAAATGGAGCTGGATAAGGAAGAAAACTAACATTTACTTAGTAGAGTCCTAGAGACTATACATCACGATAATTGAAATGTCTGGAGACATAACTCATAATACAAATTATTGACAAGTTTACTAGGTCTTTTTCCTTCTTCATTAAAATTAATACAAACTTTTGAAATCATTGAAACGGAACTTGATCATACTCTAATTTAAACGGTGTTAATAATTACAAGCGACAGTAATAATTAATCCAGGTTTTTTGTTACAATGCATTATCCTACGTTCTAACGATGATATACTCTAGGGACGAAACACTGACATAGTTTTCTAAGGAAAAAGTAACGATGAAAAATCTAATTTCCTGTTGATCATTTAGTTTGCTAAAGATAAAATATCACAAAACAGTCTTCCTCTTAATTTTAAAAACTTTCGTAAAACTAGATTATTACGATGTGAATGCATTCATAGCTTGAATGGACTATTCAAGTTAGATTAAATCACTACTTTAATTGAAACCAAAGAATTCCTCCAAAATCAAGAGTAAAAAAACTTTAACCAATCAAATAATTTCTATGAAATTATTTTCCTTGATAAAGTAAGAACAACAAGTACAGTAGAAAGAAGTGAATTCATTCCATTTCGTGTACTTTAAGTCTTCCACGTACACATACTGGTTTGTATGAATAAACAAATTATTTTACAAACTCAGTTTTGTAATGAATAATTATAATTACATTCCATATTCATACAAGTTCAATTTATAGACGAACAAAATAAGTGAGTGTGTGTCACAGAGAGAGAGAGAGAGAGAGAGAGAATATGACGTAATCGACTGCAATAAACAAGTACAAATTACTATGATTTTGATAAACAAAGAGAAAATAACAGTAATCATCATAATAGAATTACTCTTAGTAACCAAAAATTAACAATGAAAATGTTATTGCTATTAATCAATATATAAATGATTTTATGTATGTTATACACAATTGTGAAACATTTGATTTATTTATCTAAATCTGTGGAAGACTAAGAGTACAAAAAATGAAATGAATTCATCTCATCTCATAATGTATGTGGTATATAGCTAGTGAATGTAAATTGTTATAACTTGTGAACCTGTTTGCCCTGTATACTGGATAACGCAACGATATCGCTAATCAGAGAGCAGCGAACTATCGACCGAACCAGTGACGCATAAAACACGTGAGAGCAGCCTTGAGTCCTGATTGGTCCTGCTTTCCACCTAGCCACCTAGCCCAGCCAATTGAGTCCAGAATACCAATCTCAGCCTCTGCAATACGAATCATTTATTTCAAACATGCTCGGTTTATATAACAATCAAACAGACCACAACGTACCATAAAATATGAAACAACATTTGTACAATATTTGACCAAAAGTGGCTGTGAATGCGGGAGGTAATGATTAACAGATAGGGAATAATTCAAGAATGCTAAATCGTATAATAATAGTTGATAGGTCAAAATAAAACTCATAATAACAGGGACATGAATATGAACAGTTTAGTTACATAACAATTATACGATAAAAATATATGCATAGCATTGGTTCATAAATGGATCCTAAAAGTTACCATTCATTATTCTTATCGGGATATAACATAAATGTAATTGGTCACTAAACTTGCACTGACATACACAACTTACTAACTTTTGAATTTGTGATGTTTTTCCACTGACCGATATTTACTCTAGACTCACTGAATACAAACTGTTTGTTATTGTGCTGAATGAAAATATTTTCTAGTTTATCCATTAATTCTTTGTAATTCATCTTGAATAGTGCATTTGATACAATGTGGTCCAGTCTAACAGCAATACAATATCGGTCACTGGTTATATTATCGTCTTATAGTCGTATATCATGGCAAATAGAAAATACTTTTATTCTCTTATTATATCAGGGTTTTTTCCACTGAAGTGTAGACAATCTTATTGAAAGAAATGTCGGAATTATTTCAACTATTATCATTCGATCATAACACTGTCGATAGATTATAAAAATGAAAAACATAAATGTTTGTTCCAGATACCTCAATAAATCTCTACAACTAATTTAATAAGCATAACAGTAAATGAAATTGTTTTTAATTACAGACCACACATTCAATGATCGACAAATTTTGTCAATGCCTAATGAATAAAGTAATAATACCCATAGGATTTAAACTATGGATTCATCTGTATCGATGTACTAATGTAATATCAAACGAAAATTGAATTCGGAATGGGTTTTGTGGAGTATTTTTAGAAATTTCACAAGTTGAAATCATGAGTCAATTGAAACTAGACCACCATAGAAAACCTGGAAGCACTGGACGGCCGTTTCGTCCTAGAATGGGACTCCTCGGCAGTGCACATCCACGATCCCGCACCCCGCGGGATTCGAACCCAGGACTTACTGGCTTCGCGCGCGAGCACTTAACCACTAGACCACTGAGCCGGCATTCAACGGTGTTAATGTCTAACTTCAACCAATCCACGAAGTTTCGCCAACGTATACAATTGTCTTCAGTGAGTTTTTATCTCACAACAGACCTGGTTGAACTCCACTGGTAACGGCTTCTCAGGTTTCCATGGTTTTCCATGGTGGTCTAGCTTCAATTGACTCATGATTTCAACCTGTGAAAATTTAATTAACAATGACTTATGCAATAGGTTCCTTGTATATGATGTAGAATATTTGATATCGAAAAAATGTTATTGAACTTTTAAAACGTTGATAAGTATAGAATGAACAGTAACCTTTAAATATTGGGCGATGTTGTGAAGTTAACATTTCACTTAATTAAAAAGTAAATAAGAACGACTACGGCAATTTTCATTTGACTGACAGTCTGAATAAAAGACTAATGATAACATACATACATACATACACACTTATTAACATATTGTTAGGTTATTTAACTATGTATACAATTTAATGTTGTCTATGCGTTAAATTTTGGACACTATTTAGATGATTTATTTGAATCGTACATTGGTATGTACGCTTCTTTGTATATATGTTTCCTATTAAATGTCAACCAGAAAATTGTCAAAGCAATGCATAAAAATAGATCAAATGACAGAAGACAATTAATCCCTTGTTTGATTGTCTTAAGAAAAAATATAGAATATGATCTGAAAGAAAAACCTACTGTTTCTTGACAAGAAATATGCCGTTAAATGATTTTAGTCGAGAAAGAACGACATAATTAAGTTTAAGTGAATTTTGTTATGTGTCGTTTTATATTAAAATAATCATTTAACTGTACGAAGTTACGTAAATGATTTTTAATAAAATATGTTATGAAGTATCTATCGAAATTCATTACAATGTTTGGATAAGGTCTTTAATCTGATGATGCTCAATATACAGAATAACATCAGAAAACTGTTTTGAAGTCTTGTTTCAAATAGGAATCAATGATGGAGTTGAGTAGTATTTCGATCAATAATTTAAAATCTAAGGCATCTTGAGTATGATAACATTTCGAGTAGACAATGTTCATGTACCATTATTAAGCTAGGGAACGATCAGCATTGATGCCCGGTTCGGTGAACACATCGAGAAATCTCAATATTTCTGATGATTTAGATAATAATCCAAGAGTATTTGCAACACGTTTGATTTTATATGTAGATCTTTACTCCTAAAATGATCTGTGTAGATTTTTAGTCAGCATATTGAGCTAAACAAATGGGGGCGTTGACCATTTGAAGTAGCTTGGACGCTCCATTACTGCTGGTGTGTAGGCGGTTGACGAAACCTCCGAAAGAATTCAGAAAGTAAGTTCGACTCTTTCGAACTTGAACTACCTGTGGCTCAAGCATTTCAAATTCATCGGGTGTTGGATTGACTTACAACGGAAGGTGCGGTCTATTCATTTAAGGTCTTATAGTGGTGTACAAGCGTTCCTTATCTTCATCTATATTTTGAATTTCGATGGTATTCGTGTTGTGACGCAAGAGATGATCTATATTAGATCAATAGGTCATTATATTGGAGACTAGATCACGATTCTAGATCAGTTTAAAAATTTGATTCGATTACTTGTTTAATAACCCCCCTCTTTTGACCTCTGACCTGTTTCTAGCATATATATATAGTTATTATTGTAATCACGTTATTTACACTCATTTATGTCAATTGTTTCACACTATCTCCATGTAAAAATTCTATCACAATTTTGGTTTGTAAGCAGCTGACGAGAAACCCCGAAATAATATGAATTCATACTATTCTGCATCAATGTTTGTTCTTGCTCTATTTAATAACCTAAAACCAGACTACACCAGAATGACACTTTATTGACACGAAGCAGTTCACATTGAGTGAAATCAGCTTCACATTTAAAATAGTCTCTTATATTTATGACTGAACGTCCACCTTCGTTCATTGATCAACTACATATTACTTTCTTCGACATATAAGTTTTAAACTACTTATTCGACAAAATCCTTTCTTCCATTTGAAACATTTTCTCTAACCCACTATTGCTTCAACTACCTGTGAATCTTAACAATTTCAATTGATTGTGTTGAGCTAGTGTAGCAACTTGCATCAAAACACATTCATGTCAACTCCTATGTAGTTTATAACTGACCGTTATAAGATAATATGTAGAATAGCTTATAGTGTGTTCTTTTGAAAACTTACAAAATAGTAGATGTTATGGTGAGACTACAATCTATAGACGACCTTTAAACAATGCTACATTGACCTTGGACATTCTAACTACGTATGGGTTTTAATTAGTGTAAGGATTCAGAATAAGGATTTACGGCTGGAAATTAGGGTTAGGAATAAGATTTAGGGTTTTTATCACAAATTGGCATCGGCCATAATACCAAAATGCTATTTCGCTATATGGATGAGTGAATTTCGTGAACAAATCCAACACTAGTTATCTTAAATCTGACTAGCTCGTCCATAAATTATAGTCTTGTCGAAGTTATTTCTTGAAATCATAATTTCCAGATCATTTTGCTTCAGAATACATTACGGTTGAGTGAACTTCAGTATTATATCATTCCTATCGGTCCAAAAAGGAAATCATTTCATAATTAAATTGATTTCAACTTCGATTTCATAAATGATAATCAATAAAATTAACCAAACTATTTGGACAGTCATCGGGTTTATGTTGTCTTTTGTTTTCGCATATTTAAATGTAGATTAACTTGCGTAGTCAAATTTATATTTTGTCTAGAAACATTTAATGTTTTTGTCACTAACAAAAACATTTTGGGAGTGGACGGCTGTTTTTTTTGTCGATTGTTTTCTATGACAAAATTACTGTTATAAGTTAGGCTGATGAAATACACCATGGAAGTAACTGTCTAACATTTTACTAAGTATTGACAAATAAATATTTGACGATAGTATGTATATTTGAGATTGACATTGGCTAAACAACTATTGAAAAAAAGGAGGATTGAATAGTTCATTGTTGCTGCATACTAGAACAAGACACTTACCAAATGGTTAACTGGTTAAGGTCGTTTCATTAAGTTAAGTATATTTTTGCATTCTAATCATGACTTTGTGGCAAAAGATCTGACCAGTGGATTTCAATCATGATTCTCTCGACAACCCAAAGGTTGTGGGTTCATTTTCTTAGTTTTAAATATTCTCAAAATTGAACACTTTACTCAGAATTACAAAACAATGTATTCAATGTATTATTAATAATAAGGAAATAATGAATTATTAAACAGGAGGGTGATGAACAACTTACTGGTTTAAAACAACATAGACCAAAACAATTTCGAAATATATACCAACCACTAGTCTGCACAGAACGGTATTTTTTTACTAAGTATTCCTTATTGCCATCATTTACTTTACCAGTTACCAACTGATCAGTTATATGAGTATTCGTAGTGGCCATTGTTGATGGTATTGATGGTTCTTTATTGGAAGATGAATTTAATAATTTTTCAGCCGGTTGTTCCACATCCCAATCATTTTCATCAAATTCACTTTTGCTAATTTGTGGACTATAACGATCTAATATTTGTTGGCTTTCTTCTGAGTCTTTTGGTAGTGTCAAAAGAGCAGGAATTTTTCTCTCAGTATTGTTATCACTGTTGTTATTATTATTAGTATTAATATGGTTTTGGATAGTATTATGGGATCTTTCTGATTCATTTATATGATTGTCACACTGACGAAGTTTAGAGTAATAACGAACAAATTTCTGATAGAAAAAAAGAACAATGAAAAATAGAGAAAAAATCTGTCAGATGGAAAAGTGAATTGGTAAAATCCTCTTAACCACAATACATATAATTAAGATAATTCCATCATTGAAATGATAGCATTTATTAAGTCAAATGTTATTTGTGAGTGTTTTCGTCGTGAACCAAATCTGGCTGCTAGGAAATCAATGTAAACTGTGAAGCCCTAAATAGCTATTTTGTTCCATGAATAAAAGATGTAGATAGGCAAAGAACTAACGGGTTTGCATCATATTATGCTTAAAAATAAGATTTCAATGTTACTATTTCAACCTCTTGTCGTGTTGAAAGTGTGTACTGCTTACAGGTTTCAAGCCAGAGATGAAACAGAGACATTTTTTACTCTCTGTAGTTTAACATAATTTTTTGTAACAACTTGATATGTTCATTGAACATTTCAATCCTCACGTTGAGATGATGGCTAGACTAATTTATGGACGAATCGATCAAATTTAAGATAGGTGGTCTTGGATTTTGGCGCAAAATTCATTCCTTCATTTGACCAAATACCATTTTGGTATTATAGTTGATGTCAGCTCTTATTCCCAACCCCAACGTTCAACGGTAAAATTAAACAGTTATTAATTGATATCATAACAATCCAAGTTTGTAGTCGATTGTATTTATACATACATAGATAATAATGAAAGTGGTTTGTTACATATCCATTGATATAAAACACTGACAGTATTTTTGCATAGTCACGTCAGTCAGTCAGCTACAACGTGGGACCATGCACATATGTGCATCGGTCCAAGTTGCCATACCTTATTAGCTCAACAAGATGAACATCGAATTCACAGAAGTAGTTAATTCAATGGTGGTAATATATAAAAGAAAGATTGCATCTAAGGATATAGTACAGGAAGAAAGAATTAGTTAGTAGAAAGAAAGATATGAAGTGACTTTAATCTCATAGTTTAAGAGAAGACAAAGAGTATATACACCGATGCCATTGTGACCGATTTTGAGACACGTCATACAGAGTCTCCAACCATTAGTTACGATAGTCACGCGGACCCCAACCAAGTAGTCTGCAACTACCAAAATGCTTGAAACCAGAAGTTAGTGATTTCAAGGACTGATGCTACGTTTCGGTTTGACTGCCCCTAGTCACGTAAATTCTCAAGAAGAAAAAAAGACAAAACAAACCAACATATTCTATCATAAAAACAATTTTAGTTTAATCTCTGACATTTTAATAACTGGTTTGTATCCCTATTGTAACTATGAATGAAATTATTTTTCAAACATTTTTCAAATATCAGACCTAACAACGATTTAAAATTAATATTTTCAAAAGTGAAATGAAAGAGAGCTGAGGATTTGAGTTAAGTAGATAAGATGCATGTATTACAATCAATTACATTCTATAAGTCTTTTTTGGGAAAACAACATCAAATTGTAATGTTTTGTATAGAGTTTGTACACCATAATGTTTGTAATGACTTAATTGCATCGGTGAAATTAAATATGAATAGTGTTGATAGTTTTAATAGTTTAAACTGGTGGAGAAGATTTGTAGCTCAGGTGGATGATTTTGATGGAGTTTTGTTCTCTGAGCTGGATGGTTCGGTCGTGGAGCTTTCATCGTTCTTCTGAACGACATCATCATCACAAACTTCAGATAGAAGTGAAGTGTTCGAACTCAAATGTTTACAAAAACAACAGTAATTTGCTTTAAGATGTCAGTTCATTTCGTTAAATAGAATAATTTTGTACAGTGTATGTATCTCATGCTACAAAATATCTAGAATAAATGTTGCGTTTTTTTTGGAAAAAGAGAAAACAATCCAGTTCATTACTGTTGTTGATATTTTTGACTGAAATTTGATCAGTCCTAGTTGGAAAATGGGCGTCCTGTGCCTCGATATTTCCATTATGACAGAAGTTGGTATCCTATTAGCTGGTAATTAGAGAGAATGATACTATATTCGTGTCACGACGTGAATATCAACTTTGGGATGCTGGTACAAGAGTTCAAAATAGGACAAAACCTAAATCATTGATCCCACTGCTAGCCACTATCTATCTCTGTTTATTATGTAAGGTTAGTAGAGATGGTTAGATCTCATGTCACCATTCGTCACAAACTGACATTAGATGAAAGGTGTTGGACTAGATCCGATGTGCAAAATCTTCAGAACACATTTACTGTTATGTCGTATGATTACAACTTAACAAATGGCCAGTACATTTAAAATTAAGTTTATTATTAGTATTTGTTTCAAATGAAATCAGTATATGATAAAATTCACACCAAAATTTCTTAAATTTGAAAAAAAGTGTTATATCCGAGCGAAGATTGAATCACGAGTAACTCCTGCAGCATATTAATTGACTAATATTATCTATACATTCTTATGGTATAACTATTCAATAATTAGATTATGTATATTTATATTCCTCTTATTATAAGCTTTATTTTGACCTATAATTTATTATTGTACGATTTACTGTTCTTAAGCTATGCTCAGTTAATTAACTACTGCCTACCACGTTCACAGTCACTTTTTGGGTTTATTGTGTACACATGTTATTTTCTATTTTATAGCGAGCACTGCTGAGGAGTCCCACAATAGGACAAAACGGCGTCCAGTGTTTCTAGATTTTCCATGATCTAATTTCAATCGACTCATGATCTCAACGATTGAAATTACTAAGATCTCCATAAAACCCCTTCTGATATTTTGTGTTCCTTTACCCAATTAACTTTATGATATAGAAACCACTATTGTTTTTTATACAGAAAAATAAAATAAATATTTACAAGACATAAATCCATTTTAACTAATGTGAAGAAAGATGTATACAGTAATCTATATGAATGGCTATGCTAAACAAATTATCAATGATATTTATTATAGCGAAAGATAATATTGACATCTGTTCAAATGATATTCACGTTTTAGTTTATTTACATCTTGTGAACTAGATATACAATAATATTCATCTTCTTATGAAAAAAAAACAGTTTAATCAATCAAGATTCAATGTAATCAGGAAGATCATAGAAACAGAAACAAACCAGTTGGGGGTAGAAAGCTTAAGGAGAAGATGGAAGCGGCAACAGATGGTTATAAAGGAAGAAGAGTATGAAGAAAGAAAAAGAAAATAAAAAAAATAAAAATATATAAGACATTAGGACCATGGTAGAGGAAGAGGTTAAACAACCTCTTTTGGACACACAATTCTGGTTTTTCCAGATTTATGACTATCGCTTCGGTAATGCTAAGAAGATGCAATATAATTGTCTTTGGAAGACTTCTGTATATGTTGTAGATGACTTTGAACTCATAGTCTGTCTTGACTAGGTGACCTGTGTTCGATTATTGAACTTCTTATTGAGCCGTTTCCTCCTCTTCTTAGCCACGCCTAATAATTTTCTTGATTTTGTTTGGATAAAGTGCGTATCGAACGACCTATATACCTGGCTCCATATGAGCAGGTAAATTGGTAAATACACATTGATTTGGTCAAATGGGATAATTTTCCCTAAGATTATTGATGAACAATGATCGGCTGGAGAATACTATTTGCAACGTTGCTGCGATGAACGTTCTTTTTAAAGAATTAGAAATCATCCTCTTTAAGATGTATGTGGTTCTGTCACTTAAAATCGATGTTCATGTATAATGTTTTCTTTTCGACTGAAGTTATTTGTGTTTTCGGTGGATTCGTTTTTATGTTCTTATCAATTAATATCAAAGGATAACCGTTTTTGACAAGTATTTCCTTCACTTCTCTTATGTGTTCAATGAATTCAAAAGTATCATGTAGGGAGTGTCTATAAATGAGTTTTCTTTTTTTTCTTTCTTCATACTCTTTTTCTTTTATAACCATCTGTTTACGCTTCCATCTTCTCCTTAAACTTTCTACCTCCAACTAGTTTATTTCTGTTTTTAATCAACTAAATATTTTTTCTTCTCTTCACATCTTAATATTTTTCAAATGTTATTTATTTGTAAAGGATTGAACTCGTTCACAACTGATTTAAATTTTAAGTAACAGGATAGCATTGTATTGAACGAGAACACGGGAGAGGACAAACAAATATATTTTAATATAACATTACAGAATATCTTGGTAAAATCTGAGCACCATACAGTAAATATTTCATTTGCAAAAATATCTATCTCTTGTCTCAGACTTTGTTGTTCCTTCGTCTCTATACCAATCACTCTCTGTTCATGTTCTTTTCCCTTCGATTTTCTCAACCTTCTGCCGCTTGGGATCCCACTTACGACAGTCGATACATACTACTTATATATGTCGTCGTCAGTAGCACACACCACAGTATCCTTAAACTTCATACATTTAGTATGATTCATATTTCAATACTTAAACTTTGGTGCATTTTGTTTACTGCAAATTTTAATTCATAATAGTGATTGTTATCAATTTTGATAGGATCATGTAAATGTTTAAAACATTTCTTCAACATTCAGGTTACAGTCGTCACAGAATGATCTCAGCCGGGCACGATTGAAAACCATGTAGGAATACAAAACTGTTTCATCCTAGTATGTGGAACTTAAAAATTATTCGTCCACCATTGCACTAAAGATCAAATACAGGATCTTCAGGTGAGACACTTAAAAGTTAGAACCACCAAGTAAGCGTCCAGTAGAAACAGTTTATAGCCATATGGCTTTGCATATCACTAGGAGTCTTCATAAAATATATCTCACCGAAGACTAGTTCCTTGTTTATAGCGTTCATAATTTTAGACAATACGTTTAATTATTTAAAAATGAGTGTTTTTTAATGATGGAAACGTTTTATTAAGATCAGGAGCACATTTTCATCCAGTGAATACTTCAAGAATGTAGGACATGCAAGCATTCTGCGCTAAAAATGATACAAATTCTTACACTATGGAATTCATATAAATATGAACAAATCCCTGTGGTATATAAAAGAGACACTGGAAATGTGATGGAAATTATTCTCGAAAACG